CAATTATCTGTTCGCAGCAGTGATACACGGCCAAAGCTGTCTTATCATTGATACACTGCTGCAGAGCTGTCTTAACAGTAATACCTGAATATATCGCATAGCATACAATGTTGCTGCATAACGGCATTTGTAAAATTTGACAGCAACGACAGAATTTGACAGAAAGTCGTTTCCCCATGGCGTTTCTTCGAACGTGGGGCGACGTGAATTTTAATATCATAGATTGATGGCTAAGAAATTCTTTTTGTATGCATTTTCGAAGCCATTATATAGATCGTGCACCATTTCCGTACCAATTTGGTTAGAAATTTGTATAATCGGAATGTACCCTCGCCTATATCGAATATTATTGGGACACAATGTCATATTATTGCTATTTAAAACATTAAAGATATCGAAAACAACTTTTTTGTGGTTAAAAATGTGTTTAACCTTATTTATTGCTTAATATTTAAGGCTAATAATATTTGTAGGGGTATTTTAGGTAAATCTCTTAATCGGAAAGGTTTTAAAAAATTCTAACAAAAAGTTGTATATATTTGGAAAGAGTTTTAAACGAATTTCACAACAGTTATGGTTCCAAATTTGATTTTGAAACGTTTCTGGAGTAACTTTTAATTTAATCTCCCAAATTTGATTCCACAGAGTACCAAACTAGTATTATTGGTTATATCCGTAAAATTAAATCGGATAAACCACTATAGGTTTCCTATAAATGTACTCTAGGCACGTGCAAGTCCCTTCCTCTAACCAAATATCATGAAAGCGATATGAAAATACTTCCAGTAGTACCCCCCCTGAGGATTTCTGTTGCCAAACCAAAGTTCAATTTCGAGTCGAAAAAAGGCTTCCAATTGTTACACAACCATCGGCAGCAGCAGCAGCAGCAGCAACCAGCAGCAGCAGCGGCAATAGTTGGTTGCAACTGCAACTGCAGCAGCAACAACATTTAGGCAACATGTTTTTGTTTTGTTGCACCATGCCATGGCCCCTGCCACACAGCAGAAATCAAAACAAAAAACAAAATAAAAAGCGCCAGGCAAAGCACAAGAAATTGGCCAAAACGATCATGTTTATATAGACACATAGAAACGGAAAAAAGCGCCAGCGAATGTCGGGGCAACAACGGGCTACACACCACACTCCATAGACCATGGACCATAGACGATAGACCACAGTTATGGCAATTGGCAAAGTTGGCAGTTGGCGAAAAATCAAGCAAAAACAACAGCCACAAAACAGCAACAAAACAGCAACAGACGGCCAAAAGGCAACGGGCAAGCTGCAGCCAGCAGTACGGAAAAGTAAAGGATAAGCTGGAAAGCAACGAATTCCCATATACTCTTCGTGTTTTGGGTAATTCTAGGAGGGTTTAAGATATATTTGGGTAACAAAACGGCACTTGAAATAATCGATTGACATGAAAAACCCCTCGGAACGCAACGTTTTTGTCGAGGCCCATGTACCATCCTCTCTGGGGAAGGGCATCAAAAGCATTAAATGGCAAAAGCAACAATGTTGCGCTTTTCAAAGAGGCTGCAGAGACACTCCAGCAACTCTTCCTCTCTGTCTGCCAGTTAACAGAGACAAAGAGAGACAGAAAGAGAGAGAGAGGGAGAGCAAAGCTCTTCTTCTTTTGAGGTTACCAACAAGGTAAACCTGCTGCCATGTTTATTGTATCTTTTATTTTGATCTCTCTCGCCCCATAGAGACAATAGAACAAAGCGCCAAAGCATTCTTGATGTTTGCTAGAAAGAACAACTATGGAGGAGGTGGAGGAGGAGGAGGAGGAGGAGCAGGCGGAGGTCAATGTTGCAATTGTTAACTGCTAATTAGCCAAGTCACAGTCCGAGTTACAGCCACAAAGGAGAGGTAGATGCCGGAGCCATGTAACAATTTATGTTTCTGTAAGTGGGGGGTGTGCGAGTACTACGCCTCGAGGCATCAATTCCGAGAACCGGTTAACAGCTGGCCACCAGGCCATCGAATGAAACGAAAAATATGATGTGGTTTCCTCTGTTTCGTGGCAGTTCAAGATCGACATGAGATATGGCTAGACTTCAATTACGATCACCACTAGACGTCCTACAGTACATGAACGGGCCAAAAACGTACATTTATATTAATATTTAATGGTTTTCATAAGCAAAGGTATGCTTTTTTATCTTTGAGTTTGTTACTCCAAAAGATATTGATAAAATTGTATGACAAACGATGGAGATTATATAGCTTCAAAAAGTGCCATAGAAAACTTGTATGATATCCACTGATTTTCGAAATCACAAATCACTCCATTAAATCACAAGTACCCATAAGATCGATAACAAATCGAGTCTTCCTTTATCGATTTATTAAATTTATGCCCTCGAAAATTTCCCTATACATATTGCTCTATTATTTCTGCCTTTACATACAAATTTATTTTTAATCGATTATTATATTTATTCCCACTAATATTTCTCTATACATATTTTTCTATTATTTCTCCTTTTACATAAAAAATGCTAGCATTAATCGATTCCAAATCGATACTTCCTCTATCGATTTATAATATCTACCCCTAGAACATTTCCCTATACATATTTCTCCTTTTACATACAAAATGCCGGCATTAATCGATTAAAAAGCGATACTTCCTCTATCGATTTATAATATTTACCTTCTCCAACATTTCCCTATACATATTTCTGTATTATTTCCACCATTATATAAAAATGCTAGCATTAATCGACTAAAAATCGATACTTCCTTATCGATTTATCATATTTATCCTCTGCAAGTACTCTTACTTTACTTGTGTACATTTTCACCATAAATCTGTTGCACGCCTCAGTTGCCCCATTACCGCCACATTAAAATCCCCATCCCATTCGGGAGTTGCAGCTCCTCCAGCAGCTTCTGCGCCACATGCCCCCCTGCGCTGCCCCACATCACACCTGCATTTAGCTGGAGTTATGACAACAAAAGCTGTAAATTAACATTCGGGGCCGCACACACACCTAAAAGGAGTTCAAGAACATAAACAAGCAGCAGACGATGCCAACGGACAGCCCAGCCGCCAACCGACAACCGCCAGAGCCAATCAACTTACAAAATTCGCGGTTAACCTTCCTCCAGGGAGACTGAGAGGGGGATCGAGGGAGAAAAGAGTCGCAGCAGCAGTCGATGATAAAAGTAAAGACCACCGCACATAAACCCAGTTTACGAAATGAAAAGGCACAGAAAACACAGAGAGAAAAACTGCAACACCAGCAGACATCCCATCGCACTATGGGATACCCTATAGTCAGGTGTTTGTACATGATCTAAGAAGAATTAGAATTAATAATTAGTCTCAGAACGAGAGGAAATACATGACAATACTTGAAAATATAAATTCTTTGGTTTTCTTTATCCAATCGAAATGATATTCGGAAGATTGGTTGTGAATATCATCATATACAGCTCTAGTAAATGGTAGTCCTATATCTTGAAAACTTTTGGATGTTACAACTCTTCTTCTATAGATGCAGGAATGAAAGAAGGGTCTGGAAATCACAGAAAAAGAGGAATAGCAGTTGAGATGTTCTTTGTTTTTTGATTGCTTTTTACATCCCATCGAATACCATGCCACTCTAGAGTCCCCTTGGTTTCCAGGGTATTGAAACGCGAAAAAAGAACAGCCAATAAACACAAAAACCGCAAGCCGACGTAGTCAAAATAATAATGAGCCCCTCCAACATTTAAAATGGTTTATGAGACAGACAGACGGTTTGCTGCTCCAAACCGATCCACCGATCCGCCGATCCACCAGTCCGCAGTCGGAGTCTCAGTCTCAGTCTCTCAAGCCTTTTCTCAGCCTCAGCCTCAACCTCAACCTCATCGTCATCGCCGTACACCTACGGTGGTGCCCCAAAGAGTCTTTGGCGAGTCTTTGATTTTTCTGGGTCAAGCTACACGCGAAAGCGGCAAAAGGAGAAGAAGAAATGTGTGCAAGTGTGTGTGTGTGTGTGTGTGTGGTAGAGTTCAAAACGTGCCTGGGTAATATTGTTCAAAAGACATGCATTGGCCCCAACAGTACTCTCCAAAATCAGCAATGCCCTGCCCCCTGCCCCGATTTGCCCTCCGCGATCTGCTCTGCTTTTTCTTTCAGAAACAATTTCCGGTGCTGGCCTACGGTGGGTCTCGGGTATGGTTCGGTTTTCGGGCTGCAATTGCACTTCCAAAATGAGTGACTCAGCCGCTACGCCAACGGTTCGAAACTGGGAGCCAGGGAGCCAAAGCCAGGGACAGGGACAGAGCCCCCCAGCACTTTGTTCCACCCCTCCCCCCCCCCCCCCCTGCCGTTATATATGTATGTGTATGAAAGTAGTTCAAGTGACCAACGGCGCCGTTACATTTCACTGCTTATGAATTGAAGTGGTTACCGTCCAGCCACTCGGAGCCGAACCTCAGTCAGCTTACCCCCCACCCTCGCCCTGTCTTACACTCCTCTCCACCCACTCCTCTTCATTCCTGTACAGTCGAGGCGTTAATTAAATTGTTTTGATTTTCGGATTGGAGTCACTGCCGCCTCAAGTGTGTGCATTATGGAGCGAAAAAGAGGGGAGTTATAGAAGGAAGCCTTGCTGCTATGGATAAAAGAGAGTTCTAATATTGGATTGAGATGTCTTTCAGTTATAACTGAGAAAGAATACTCGGTAGAAGGTAAACAGGTGACAGTATAACAACAGAGCAATGCAGGATGCGATGGGAGAGGGAATAGCACTTTTTCTATCCTGTTCCAGCATAAAAATACTGTAAAGCGCTATCGAAACACAAAATGACGGCGAGTGAGAGAGGAGGACGCAGAGGGTACGCAGGGCACTCTTTTTCATGCTTAAAATTCTAATTAACTTTACCCGTAAAAGGTACCAGAGAGGAGAGAATGGATAAAATCGCAATGATAACTGCACATTCGAAACATTTCTGCGAAGCGACTTCCCATTCACAGATTATACCAATTGCGACTTTGCACTTACCATTTTAAAAGTTAATAATTATTATATTCCAATTGTCCGCTTTTGGTTCAGTCTAAAAGATTCTTCTTCGTGGTGGATTTTCCCTAAACGATTTTCCGTTGCTGATAAGACTTTTTGTTGTTGTTTTTGTGGGTCCGGCACCAAGGCCAGAACGCTTTTTGATTAGTTTAATATGTAATTGATTATTGTTTGCACCACATTTTTTTATTAAACACTAAACATTTTTTATTAAATATTTTTACGTAGAAAATTTGTGTAGATTCCTTTTTGCACAATGGGGGTTTTGGGTGGCGTGGATTTTCCGAAAATTATTGCACGAGAAAATTGCAGTCGCAGCGTTGATTTTTCACCTGTGAATTAATAACGGTAAATTACTCACTCGCACTGGTACACTGGTATAGGTGGAGGGGAGGGTGAACGAGAACGAGCAGCAAATGGACAATAAAATAAACAAACTGCAACTACACTGTGCGCGAAGAGAGAGGAACAGAGAGGGAGAAAGAGACGGTCTTGCAAAACTTGTTGAAGTTGCAGTTGCAGTTTTTTCTGCACACACACCATTCCCAATAAGAACTTACACACATACACACACAGAACCACGCAGCAGCAGCTTTCTTTGTGTGTGTTTGTGTCTGAGAGCAGCGACTTTCTTTAGGAGTATTTCCGGGCAAGAGAGAGCGAGCGAGCGAGCGTGGTGTCGACGGTTTTTTTTTTTAAATTTTATTTGTACAACTTTTTGTTTCTGAAGAGAATACACAACTCAAGAAATTTTAAATAAAATCGGGTGCTAGGGTATCACTAGTTTGACCACCAAAACGTTCTTTTCTCTTTTTGCACTTGCTTGCTTTCTTCGACTTTGCCACTGTTGCTGTTCTGCCGCGGTCGCAGTCGCTGCTCTGCCCTCGGCTTGGTTTTTATTTTACACCACACGACAGCAGCTCTCTCGCTCACGCTCACGCTCCAGCACCGCTCTTGTTGCGTTTTCCTCACCTTTTGCAGAGTTTATTGACATTTTCAGCGTTTGCTTTGTGCGCTGCTTTCTTTCTCTGCCCAGAGCTGCGCTCTTCTCTTATCTGCGCTCTCTTTCCAGCGCCCGTTCTAGCTCTCCTGCTCTATCACTCTATGAGTGCGTGTGTGTGCTTGTGTATGTGTGTGTGTCTCTCACTCTGCCGCTTAACACTTGCTTTTTTGTTTACAATAAAGAATAACCTTCAATTTTATCTTATTGCGCGCCCGTCATTCGCTATATTTGTTTTACTCTTCTTTCAGCCCCGATTTTGGTTTGGACTTTCATATGCAATTGGAATAAAACCTGTGCTTTTTGGCCATTTTCATTGCACTTTTGTTTGCGGTATGGGATTTTTGTTTAATACCATTTAACTTCAACGTTTTGGTTTATTTATTTGTTGGGAAATTCCCAGACACTTCACTTTTCTGTGCCATGTAAAAGGCTGTTTGCATTATCATGAATATACTTTTAATATTTCCGGATACAGATCTTTTTCGCCCGCTTTCGTATTTTTTTAATTTTGTTTACCTGGGAGTTACAAATGTGCAACGGAATCGGGCGAAACGTGCGCTCCGCTAGAACTACCCGCGATTTTTGATTTTGTTTTCCACTTTTGTTCGCAAGGCCGTTTAACATTGCTTCCCCCCACCACCCCGGCCAGTGTGACCGCGGAATTATCGAACTGATATACCGTCCGACCCTCATAAATATACCAAAATATACCATCTCATTTTAAAAGTATACCGTCAATATACTGACGAAGTCAAGTTCTGTTATACATATTACTCGTTTATGATATTCCGTTGAATATTACTAGCTATATAGAACATATAGCCATGCCCACATAATTTTATACGATTAATGAATCAATTTTCTACAAGATTGGATAGTTTTTTATCCTTGCTTTTATTGTATTTATTGTAATCAGGGTTAAACGAAAAAGTCCAACCAAAAAAGAATCGCAATGTTGCTGGTATTTGAAGACGTGATGCGTGTATAGCCCTTTGTACACCCTATTTCGCTAATTTTATATGAAGATCAAACGTAATTTATTAAGACCTTTTCTCAAATTGATATGTTTTTAACTTATTCATGTGGCTTATTAGTATCTTGTATATATTTATCTCGATCCTGAGCCTTGGAAGACAAACGTATTCACAATTCTATAACATCCATTTGCCACAGGGTATGTGTGCATGGAATTAGCAACATTTGTGCATGGAGTTAGCAACATTTGTGTATGGAATGGGACTCATTGTTGCAATAGCGAAACTGCGGCGAATCGGGTATTGCCTATATTTCAAGCTATATAGATTTGCCCACTTGGCTTTATCCCATAGATAAATGCATTTTCTACAAGATTGCTTCTTTTAATTACCTTTATGTATTTTATTTTGACCAAAAAACGGTTTTCAAGTAAATGTTGCCGCAACTTTTGTGTATGGAATGCGCAACATTTGTGTATGGAATGAGACTCATTGTTGCTAAAGCGAACTGCGGCGAATTGCGGCGAATTCAAATTTTCTCATATTCTTTGTTCCGTTGAATAATACTATCTATATAGAATATTTAGCCATGCCCACTCAATTTTGCACGATTGATGAATCAATTCTATACTTGATTGGCCTATTCAAAAAACTTGCATTTATTGGGTTTTTATATAAAATTGAAAATGAAATTAATAGATGACAAAAATACCATTTAGCACTAAAAAACACCACATGGGAGCGCGGCGAAACCCAGTTTCTACAGTATATACGGTCTCACTTGAAAAATATACCGAGTGGTGCGCGCCAAATCGAACGTTTTGAATGTGAGCGACAAGGACTTAAATGTTGTCAACCGGGCCTTTATCTATGCCCACATAATTTTTTACGATTAATGAATCAATTTTATCCAAGATTAGTTACTTTAAAGTATTATTTTTGCATTGTGTTGTGTCGAAAACAAGGTTTAAACATAAAAGGTCACGTAAGTGAGTATGGAATGTCGTATACCATATTTCTTTAATTTATTATAAAGATACTGTTTTTCAATCTGTCATAAAACGTCTTAGTAAAGACCTCTTCTCAGATTAATATGTTTTTGACATATTCATGCATACGATTAGTGTCTGTGAATAAATCTCGATCCCGATACCTATTCTTAGTCTCTGTAAGAAGACAATAAGCTGCAAAATATCGTTGAAATAGCTTTCAAACAGAGAGTTTCTGCATATATTGACATGACAAAGATTTTCTCAATTCTATAATATCAAAAAATCCCAAACAAAAGAGAGCAAGTCCCACCAAACTTGAGCGCCAAATATAAATATTTTGAAAGTGAATGGCCGAAAATGATTTAAAAGCAATCCATTGGAATAAATGCACGTAAGTACGATTTGAGAGCGAAAATTCAATGCGTGTTTAAATATAAATATACTGTTATATACAGTAAGCGGTCACCCTAAACCCGGCAACGTCACAAGCCTGATGATAAAATATACCTTAATATACCAAAAACAGGTTCAAATAATCTGTTATATACTAAAAGATCTATGAAATATACTTTTCTACACCGATACACCATAAATATACAGAATAACTTAATAATAAAAATGCTCCCAGGTCTTCCATTAATTTTTTGCATTAGCATCAGAAAACAAGAAATCGACAAATTATTTTAAGTTTGATACGCAATTATGTTATTGGACATGTTTAAATATATAATATTTATACGCCATAAAAATACCCTAAAGCTATACCAAAACAATTCATGGCTGCACTGAAGAGTTCTGCTATAAAAATTCGAGTTCGAATTTTCGAAGATTGTGCTTTAGCCGTCAGCATTCGTCAGCATACAAATTTCAAATTTAAAAACCTGTGTTAGCGCGAAAAAAGCTGCTACCAGTATAAGCGACTTTTCCTAGACAAAGGCTATTATTATTATTAATTTTAACTAATCCACTGATTTTGCTAATTTATTAATTGTCTAGTTTCTTTTATGCCTCTATCTTCAAACTTTTATTGTGTTCAAAAAGATCGAAAATTGAAGATCTTAGGCTGTGCCACATTGTTGATTCAGTTACCAAGCCATTAATGGCTGCTTTGCCAGCGGATCTACTACATTATTTATTAGGAAACATTGGGAATGATAAATTGCTGGCTTATGTAAATGAGAATGGCCTGCAATCCTCTATGTAAATTGCATATTATTAATAATTCTGGGCACACACCAGCACCAACACAAAAACTAAACCCAAATTGGTTTATATTTGTTGTATATTTTGAATATGGTTAGCTAATTGGTTAATTAAGTTGGACCGAAGATAATCATTTTTATGCAAGCCATTTCGGGGCTTTGTGACGTTTTAATTGGTATATCGAGTATCTAAAACGGATGACGCCTCTTTGGCTTATTTGCCTCCTTTTATCCGCTCACACACCCATCCACTCCGCCGCATTGACCGATGGGTGCCCCATAAGTGGGCTAAGCAAATTCGCGACAGCGATCCGCATGAACTCATTTCGCTGTAAGTGAATATGCTTTCAAATGAATGGCCTGCGTAAATGCATTAAACATTAACAAATACCCGTGCATGCAAGCGAGCAGATCATGCCATGATTAGGTTTTATACAACAAAATTAACAACGAAAAGAAGAAAAGAAAGAAAACGCTTTGTCACATTTTCGTGTTGTGTCTGGGGCGTCGTCTCTGAAGGTCACAGTAGCAGCATCGCATCAATGGATGGTTATACGAAAAAATCAATTCAAAATACAAATATATGTCAAACAATCAAAATTCATGGAAACGATAACGCGGGGAGAACGAAGTGGAGATGCCCTTCCAAGAGGCCATTTTTAAAACATTGTTCAGAAAAGGGAATTTTCTGGCAGAAAAAAGAAGCTCATAAGCTTGTAAAAGCTTCCGATTTAAATATATACAAAAAATTCAAAACTAATCAAATTGCTTTTACAAATTATTTAAGGAGGGTTTCGATAAGAGATAATGATGATTGTTATGAGAATCTTTCGATCTGGATGATCTTATCTCATAAAGCTTCTCGTAAGGCCTCGATCCATCTTTGTATCCGTTAAAAACAAACCATTTTCCCTAGAAAGATCAGATTTATACAAGAAGAAAATAAATCTCAAAATATGTCGACACAAACAGAACATCCTATAGGTAGGGGAAATACTGAGGGAAAATAGACATGAGAAATAGATTTGTATGTCTCACCATTTTCGTTTCCGGCTATAGTACCCCTTGAAAGGGCATTTCAAACATCTGCCACCTCATGATTGAGTAAAAGTTCACACAATAAAATATAAAATTAAGAAAAAACAACTCCCCCAAAGAGAAAATAGTGCGTGCCAAAGCGAAATGATTGAAATTGATGTCGCAAATAAAATAACAATTAAAAAAGTGGCATACAAACGTCGATTAGGTTGCATTGAGTTGATGTCTTCATGCGGGATATTACATACTACACTGGGCTGGACCGGCCAGACCCAGACCCAGACCCATCGACCGTGTGGCCGACCCTAAATCATATTCAAATTAATTAAATGACGGCCGTTTGCCGGCGGCCAGGGCAGGCAGCAGGCAGCAGACAGCAGCTGTTTCATTAGTTCATTAGTTTACAAGTTCAGTGAGATTAAAAATAGTAACGTCTGTGGCCAAGTCCTTGAGTTTTTTTTGGACAAGCTCGAGCGCATCGTCGGCATCCAAGCATGTAGTTTGGGCCATTAGCACCGGCTAATAGTTAAATCAGATGAATTTCCACTAACCAAATCCAGTCCGAGCTTAGAGAGAGAGGGAGAGCCAGAGAGGTTAAACTTTGACATTTGGATTTTCGGGCCCTTAAATTTGTTGTGTACACACTTGCCCCCACATCACATCGATTGGATGCAAATGAGTGTTGGCGTGTCCGTGTCCGTGCTGGCTCGAGTTGCCCTATTGACATTGCAAAACCCCCACCCCATTCCCCATCCCCCATCCGATAGCGGTACGCGATAGCAGGTGAGCGGCGGACCTACCTCTACGCACACGCACACGGACACGCCGCGCATGCGCTGAAGCCGGTAGCGAAAGATGGCGATAGAGAGATGTGGAGAGAGCGCGATTGTTAACCCTTAGGAGGAGTTGTGGGGTATTTTGGAGACATTATTATGCTTATTAACTGATGGGTACAGAACAAATGCCCTTGGGTATGTTGAAAACCACTTCTGACCCATCATAAAACTTCATTGTGAATGGATCTTTATATTAAAATACTCGTACTATCTATATACGCGATGTATGATAGCATATATGTATGTACTTTTCTTTGGAATTGATTTTGTTGACAACAAAAATGGGACGAATCGGACAGCATCTGGTGGAAACCCCACCCTGGGGAAGTCACACATATCATATCATACCAAATGTACCCCTAAATGTGTGTAGAGGATATGGTATAGATAACGGCACTCAAATACGTACTAATTTGGTTATAATTATCCACTTAAAATACCAATTACCTCTTAGTATCAGAGAATTCTTAATACAAATCGGTTTGGAATATTGATATAAAGCGCAGAATATATTTCTCACTTTTTACCTGAGCATACTCGTATTTATTAAATAAATATCTTTAATTATGCGATCGGTTCATATGTAAGCTATTCAATAAAAACAACAACAAAAATATATGAGCTGCTATCCCTAAATAGATGTGGATAAATTTGAATATTATGTACTATTATGATGTGGTTAAATTGTTAAAAATGTATGAAATAAGAGAATCGCGATAATTTTGCGATATTCTGCGTGCCAAATCTTTGATAATTTCCGATAGCAATCGATTAAAATTAAAACTCTCCTAAGGATCTCCAAAGTGTTGTAGAAACAATTAGCTACAAAATTAATTTAAATAAATTAAACAAAATCATGTGATTTGATGCACGTTTACACGCCCATTGGGGGGTTAATGATCGCTCTCATCTTCTCATAACGTTTTTTTCCGCCTCTTCTTTGACAAGCTACGAAGAAGCCGAAGATCGACCGTCAAAAACGAAGAGACCGAACAAACAGTTGGCCGAAACCGAAACACACACATCTTTGGGCCAAGTCTGAACTTGGTTTTTTGGTATAAAAGTGCCGGCCCATCTGCAGTGGGTCATCATTCAGCTTCAGTGTCTCTTGGCCAAAGCTTCCCCCTCAACCCCACAAAATCCAACGAACTTTGGAGACCCTCCGTTCCAACAAATCAACAACAATGGTGAGTAGTACTCCATCGCACATCGATCAAGACTGGGGCTTCACCTCCGACTTGGACACACGGATTGCTAATCGGCTGATCTCTTCCAGAAACTCTTCGTGTTTGCTGTGTGCGCCATCGCTGTGGTTGCGGCCGATGTCTCCCATCTGAATCTGGGCGGTGGTGGCAGTGGCTACTCGTACAACAAGCCCTCGCCGTCGTTCAACATCCCATCCGCGCCAGCTCCAGCTCCTGAGTACCTGCCGCCTGTCCAGGATTTCCCCGCCCCGGCACCCGCCCCTCAGTACACGGCCCCCGCACCCGTCCAACAGTACTCCGCGCCAGCACCCGCCCCTCAGTACTCGGCCCCCGCACCCGTCCAACAGTACTCCGCGCCAGCTCCAGCTCCTGAGTACCTGCCTCCTGTCCAGGATTTCCCCGCACCGGCACCCGCCCCTCAGTACTCGGCCCCCGCACCCGCCCCTCAGTACTCCGCGCCAGCACCCGCACCACAGTACTCTGCCCCCGCACCCGTCCAACAGTACTCCGCGCCAGCTCCAGCTCCTGAGTACCTGCCACCTGTCCAGGATTTCCCCGCCCCGGCCCCTCAGTACTCGGCCCCCGCACCCGTCCAACAGTACTCCGCGCCAGCACCCGCCCCTCAGTACTCGGCCCCCGCACCCGTCCAACAGTACTCCGCGCCAGCTCCAGCTCCTGAGTACCTGCCTCCTGTCCAGGATTTCCCCGCACCGGCACCGGCCCCTCAGTACTCGGCCCCCGCACCCGTCCAACAGTACTCCGCGCCAGCACCCGCCCCTCAGTACTCGGCCCCCGCACCCGTCCAACAGTACTCCGCGCCAGCTCCAGCTCCTGAGTACCTGCCTCCTGTCCAGGATTTCCCCGCTCCGGCACCCGCCCCTCAGTACTCGGCCCCCGCGCCAGGACCAGTCTTCTCCGCTCCCGCGCCAGGACCAGTCTTCTCCGCTCCCGTGGAGCAGCAGTCGTCTGGCTACCAGTACAATGTGCCCGCCAAGCGTTTCCGCTTCTAGGCGATCAGTGATCAGTGATCAGTGATCTCCACAGCCATTCACGGGAGGGGAGGATCGACTCGCCCGCTTGTTAAATTAACAAGCGGCCTTCCCTCCCTCTTCATTGTTGTTGATTATTTGTTGTTACGCAAAGTTCCCGTTGAGATTTTTTAGCTAATAAATAAAATACAAAAATATTAAAATGTAAAAGCCAAAGAGTGTGAAATTGCGAATCGAACCACTCGAGTGAGTGTTATGCGATACCCTCTCCATTGCCTATAGATATTTAAATTTACCGCCATAAAAATCGTCATAAAATTCGCATAAGTATTGGCCGAAATAAAAGTCGACCAACAACAATGATGATTACACAAAGATGACCTTAGGTGTAGGCCATAACCACACAGCATTGGCAATCGTTACGGGACGAGAGCTCTCATCGAGATCTCACTTAAGAGAGTACGAGTGTTTGCAACGTTCAATGGCACTCGATGCAACAGATCATAGATCTTGAACGCCCTCTAGTATGGTGTTTTCAGGTCCATCTATACAGTTTTAGGGGATTAACCGAAAGAGGAACCTTCAAAAACCCCTCGAATCGATCTATAAAATGTAGGTGGATTTGTTGTGATCCCTCGAATCGATCTATAATATCAAATCAGAAGCTCATCTAATGGATGTTTGCAATTTGACTGTCGAATTTTTGTTTCTCTCCAATGAGGGGACCTTCAAAACCAGAAGTCAAACCCATATTTGCCAATTTGCAAGTACTCAATGCAGTGCCGACTATGATCTTTACGAGGCCGCCAATAGTTTTTTTTTTGCACTGAAGCAAATATTACTTATACCGTGGAACATTGTACTTAGCACCTAAGAAGTAAATATTCAACAGATGGGTTGGGTATTATGGAAACTGCAAGCAATAATATAATGCAGACTGCATTATAAAGAAGGTTAAATAATAATAGCCGGAATATGGATATGGAAATAAATATATCATATTTATAGATTACAATGTGGAGAAAAGTATACTTAAAATCTCGATGCATGAGGCAACTGGATTTTACGGTCCACTGGCTTTTAATAATTAATCTGACTATGTTAATTCATCAAACTAGTACAGATGTAAAAATATTTCATAATTAGTCGAAGATAAAACTAGTATACAAAATTCCAGGTCTCTTAGCACCTTTAAGTGGTGCACCCAGATGTTTTCTTTCAAATAGTATATGAGATATACATAGTATGTACTGTACAAATGGCTCTTTGTGTATGAATATTATGAATATGAATATTAAAAAGTGTGCTTCATAGGAGAGAATTTCAAAATGTCGGAAATAATTTGAAAATTGATTTTGGTATTCTATTAAACATAAATTTTGCCACATCACATAATAATGCCATTAAGCAAATAACTTTTTCAGCTCAGCTCTGATTTATATTGTCTCCTCTATGCAAATATAGCTATATATTTTTATGCTAATGCCACCGCTATAATGCACTACGGAGCAGATGTTAAATTTCCAAAGTTTTCACCTTTTTTTTGGCAAACATTTCGGAGTGCGAATTTTTATGCGACTTTCTAAAGCCGATTAAATAACCTTCAACACAGCTGTCAAACCATGGGACAAGTCGAGTAATATTTAAATTTTAAAACATTTTAGGAATGTGTTTGGGTGGTTGCGGTGGGAGACCAATTAGGGGGAACTTTAAGAACTGAGCCTTTAGAAAACGAGAATAGAGAACCTAATTTCTAAATGCCCATTTAGAAATAATTTCCAACGCCATCAAAATCTCCGCTTCATTTTGATAACTTAATGAAAAGAAATTCTAGCCAATGGGAATATAAAACCTGTTTTCTTTTTCCTCTACAATTACTTGTCGCCAAGTACTTATGCCAAAATAAATCTTGGTTAATGCCACAAATTCTTAAACGACCTTTAACGAGTATACTAACACTTTAGTAGCCTCAACAAAAAACCCCGAGAGATCCGACTTATTGTCACAGCAAAAAAAAAACCATAAGTTCATTTTGGATTGGCAATAAATCCAGCGATGAGATTGAGGAATTTTTTGTTATGCTATGAATAGAAAAAGCCCCTTTAAAGGAGTGTTTTTAGGATGTGCCAGTCATAAAGAAACATCCCAAAATGAAGTATATTCCTTTCTTATGTAGAGAATTGCAGTCGATCTTCCATATAGCGAATCTCAAACGGAATTCGTTACACGGAAAATTCATAGTATAAAAATCATTCTTAAAGAATATAGCAGCAATATTGCAGTGTTCTGAAAACAATTCGTTATATATAAAATTGCGTTGTATGGAAGTTCGTAATAAAATATCAACAATTGTATATTGGAGTACAAATTAAAAATAAATACAAAAACAAAACAAAAAACTACCGAAAAAATAGGAACAAAAGTATAACCCAAACATAATTTTAAGTGCGTACTAGTGGGGACTGCTAAATGGATAGGTATAAGATTAACCAGTATTTAAAGTACATATTAATAAATTAGTGACTATATCCAAAACAGATATATTTATAATACTTTCTGAAGTCGCAAAGGAAAAAGAATGCTAAAAAGGTACTTTAAACCCATTAAGTGCCAATGGGTATTTAAATATTTAAAGGATGAAACTTCAAGAATTTTATCGACAAACTGGTGAAAGATACCGAAGTAATTATTATTTTTAAATAAAGAGGAAAAGATGGTTCTACGAGTAGAATTTTTAAACAGCATAACTTTACGGGGTTTACCTACAAAAAATTCCCCTCTGAAAATATAATTTTATAGCGGACTGAAAAATGCAAGCGCAATCGTGTTATGGTACCAAAGGCAAAAATATCAGGCAAATCGCACGGTTCGTTGAGGATCGGCCCCTGATGGGTTGCACAAAAAGAAACAGTTCTATATATATAGTTATATTTTGTAACTAATGATAAATAGTTTTATTTTTGTTGTTATATTAATACACGGTTGTCGGTTGTCCTCTTTGATTCTAGTATACCATGATGATGTTTTTCTGTTTTCTGTTTAAGGAAAATTTAATTTGTATAACATACAGCAACCACACATTTTATCGTATCATTTGTTTAGTTAATCGTTAGGTTAATCACTATAATTAGTTTACAATGTCAATTGCGTTACAAAGATTGCGTTTTGTATATATGTATATCCATCTATAGCCTATGATTTTCTCGTATGATTCCATTTATTTATTATGTATATTTTGTAGGTGTTTTTTAGTTTTTAATGGTATGTATCATATTTAACTTAGTGGATCGAATAATATACAGCTAAATTTAAAATACTAGACGTAGTTGATGGTTTCTCTAAGAGCACAGAAAGTAATGACGCGCAAGGGGGAAATAAATTAAATTGGAAATTGGATTGGAAATTGTGAAGAGAATTTTCAATTTCCAGGCTAAAAAAAAATTGAACGAAACGAACGTACAAGTTGAAAAGACAGGAAACTCTTCTCCTGGGGTCATATGACCATTTATATTGTTTAGGTTTTAGGATTCAATTTCCAATAAGTGGCCTAAAGCAGAGGTTAGGCTGCCTCCAACATCTTCCTCTATACACGTGTGTACTATATCGTCCCTTCCTTACAGGCTACATTTATGTACAATATCTCTCGTTTATTTTTAGGCGCCCAGCGGCGCTTGTTATGTGTCGTAGTCGTCCTGCTGGGAGCTAAAGTAGCTCACCAAGCCACTGAACTCTCCCACAGCCGGGCCGCTGGCCACTGGCGGCGGTCCACTGGTGTCGTGCGCCGAGCCAGAATCCTCTTCTGCAATGACCGCTGGCGAGCCAACAGCTCGCGCAGCGGCCGCCTCAACCACGCCCACGGCCATTGGGGACTTGGCTATGGGGGGATATGCCTCCAGGGTCGTCAGTTTCTTGCTCGTTATCACCGATGGCGGTGGTGGCTGCGGCTGCGGCTTGTGGCCTATTAATTCCGCGGGTGGCGGTGCCGGAGCGGGAGCTGGGGACTTGCCACGCGTCAAAGCGGACACCGAGTGATTTGTGGGCGTCACGGGGGGTGGTGCACTAACTATCACCGAACTGGGGGCTGCATGGGCGGGTGGAGTGGTCAACGGAGGCGGCGGATAGTAGCCATACGGTGGATAGCCGCCTAGAAAGACACACAGAGATTAGATAACCTTCTGGGCGTCAGAGCCACTTCCATCTACTTACGTGCTCCTGCCACATAATCCACGGAGCCGGGACGCATATTACCAGGGGGTCCTGGGGGTCCAACACGAGGCGGATAATTGGGATTGCCATAAATGGGAGGACCTCGGCTAGAAAATACAATGGAAATGATCACAAGATTCCTGCATTGAGAGCTCGAAAGCACTAACCTGTAGGGATTCAGATGAGGAGAGGCATGTCTCGCTGGGGGCGGTCCTGAGCCGTAGACTCCTCCCAGTGGCGGGCCACCATGATGTTCCGCTCCGTGCATGTACGGGGGACGCGTATTGGGCGGCGCCCCACTGCTGGCTGTCGACGTGGGCGGTGGCGCTCCCCGCAGCGGTGGCGGCTGTCCATAGGTGGGACGCATGGCTGAGTGGGGTGGCGGCAAGCCGGGTGGCATTTGCGGACGCAGCAGATGACGTGGTGGACCCGGCGACGAGGCAGGGCCTACCCCAGATGATGGCGAACGAGATCCCGGTGCAGATGTGGGCGGCGGAAGCGGTTGCCCGTAGAAACGAGCCAGTTCCGCGCTGCTGGGATACATCCCGGTGGGGGGACCGCGTACATGCGGATGGGCTGACAGATGCGTGGGCATTCGCGTGATCACCGAGGCCTGCGAAGAGGCGGCAACTGTTGTGGGAGGAGGCCCGTCTTCATGGGGTTTAAATAGCTGCGCACTGGGCACTCCCTTAATCTTGTCCACGGGAGGAGCCGGTATTCCGGGTGTCGTCGAGGCAGCCGTGACGGCCGCTGCAGTCTGTTGCTTCTGCAGTTGATCCCGCAGAGGCGTCACCTTTTTCCGGCGTCCACGGGGCTTGCTATCCACTGGAGGAGGAGGCCCAGCCGCCTGGGGCTCGGGGGCACGCACTGCAGCCTGTTGCGTGGCCACAGTGGCCTGATGCATCAGATGGGCCGCTGCAGCCGAGGGCATGGACATGACTAGTGGCAAATGCTGAGTAGAAGGCGGTGGCGGTGGATAGTTCCCGCGACCCAGGGGCTGGCCGAGGGGAGCGGACAGGGCGTTCTGCAGCAGCTGCATGGCCTGTGGGGGCGGCACCGTCTGCGAGAGATGACGCTGCAGCATGGGATGCATCCCGTGTGGCGGCGGCAGCAGGGATGCAGGTGGCCCGTGCTGTCCGGGCCCCGGAAACTGATGACGCAGCAGAGGCGGATGCATGGTGGGCATGGGCAGACGCTTCCGATGCGGCTCCTGCAGTCCCGACGGCGGGGCCGCAGCGGCATGAGGAGCTGGCGGAATCGGGGCCGCCTCTGGGGGGGCGGACACTTTGCTAGCCTTCGCCTTGGCGGGTGTCGTGCGCAGCACCTCCTCGGGGCCGGGCAGCTCTCTGGCTGCCGCTGCACTGAACTGCTCCTCCTCTTCGACCATCCGGGCAATGGCATCCTCCATGTCCTCGGGCAGATCGGCGTCGTCCAGCATCATCTCGGCATCGTCCAGCTCCTCCTCCTCCTTGTCGTCCAGGTCGCCAATCGCCTCGCCCTTGCGCTGCAGATAGTCAATGTCCAGGACTTTGGCCTGACGGATCACCGACAGCGGCACTGTGGACAGGGAATCCCCACCAGCTGGGCCCTTGCTGGGCGTTCGCTTCTCCGGTCCGCCGCCGGGGGGCACCTGTCCTGGAGCCGCTCCCTTGATGGGCGTCAGGCGGGGCGTGGCCGCCAGCTTGGCTCCTTCGGCGTTCTTTTCGGCCAGCATCCGTTTGATCTCCTCCTGCTTCTGGATGAACTTCTGTCGCTCCTCGGGCGGTGTGTCGGGACGATGGACCCCCGGCTTGATGCCGCCGTCCGAGCTGTCGTCGTCAAAGTCCTCGATGTAGGCATAGCGACGTCCTCGCGTGCGTGTCCTCTCATCTGAAGCGGCTCCCTCGTCCTCGTCGGAGGAGGGCGGCTTCTTCTTCTTGGACTTGCCTTTGCCCTTGCCCGTCTGGACGGTGGAGGCACTGGGCTTCAGTGGCTGTGAGCGTGGCTGCTTGCCCGAGCCCTTGCCGGAGGTCGGTGCCCCTTCGTCGTCGTCCTCATCCTCTTCCTCCGGCTCGCTTTCGCTTATGTCATCGTCGGAGTACTCCAAACGCTTCGGTTTCTTTGCCGGCTGCACGGGCTTCTTCAGTTTCGGGGATTTTCTGGCTATTCCCGCGGCCGAGCTGCAGCTCTTTTTGTTGGTTTTCTTCTTTTTGGATGGATGCCAGGCCCCATCTTCGCTCTCGCTGGTGGTGTCGTCGCACAGATCCGCACTGTCCATGTTTTCGGTGAGCTCTGAGCCATTGTCCTCGTCGTCGTCCGTCTCGGTTTCCGTGTAGTCGGAGTCCTCCTTCTTTTTCTTCTTGGACTTGGGCTTCTTTTGCTCCTCTTCGCTTTCGTCGCTCTCCTCCACCACGAATTTGCGATCCTTGCGGCGCTCTCGAGCGGCTCTTCTGGCCGCCTTCCGCTGCTTCTTGCCGCCCCTCGGTCGTCTGTACATCTCCAGGCTGGAGTCCGAGTCATCGGAGGCCGACTGGGAGGTGTCCTCGTCGGTGTAACTGGAGGTCTTGAAGTCCTCATCGCTGCCATGATCCTCCTCGGAGCTCACATCGAGTGTAGTCAGCTTTCTGGGTTTCTTTTTCGCTGGCGGCTGCTTCGATTTGCTGCGCTTGAGAGGAACTTCATCGTCGTCGTCAGAGCTGCTGCTGGATTTAGCTGCTTTTTCCTCCTTTACGGAGGCAGGAGCCTTCTCCTCGGGCTCCTCCTCATCCTCTGGCAAGTCATCACGTCGCGCCTTCTCCTTGTCCGCCTCGATAATGGTGGAAATGTCTTTGCCACGGCCAAGATTACCCGCTCCGGCCGCCTCATCCATTTCCTTTTTGAGGGCAGAATTGATCAGATCATCGTACTCGTTGAGGCGATAGCTGACATTGATCTGCCGTCGCTTGCGCAGCTTGTAGATGGGCTCGTCGTCCGAGTCCGAGAAGCTGCTGCTGTTGCTGCTCGAACCAGAGCCGGAGGCACTGCCACCGGACTGGCTCTTGCCGGCGCCGCTGCTGCAGTCCGAGTCGCCTCCACGGCGTCGTCTTGTGCCGCGTTTGGCCGCCTTGCGATTGCTGCGCCCGTCGCCGCGTCGTCTCTTGGGTTTGTCCGCCTTGCTCTGCTTGCTGGCCACCTCGTCGCGATCATCATCATCGTCGTCGTCGTCATCGTCGTGGCCCACCGCCTTGGAGGCCTCACGATCTTCGGCCAGCTTCACGGCCTCGCGCTCCTGTCGCTCTCGCTCGGCCACCTCAGCCAGACGCTTCTCCTGCTGCTTGTGCGCCACCATCTGATCGAAACGCTGGAGCTGCTGCTCCAAGGCCACAATGAGATGCTCCTGCTGGCAGGGCGGACAATGCCAGTCGCCCTCGGGGATGTAAAACAGCACCGGGGACAGGCAGGAGCAGTGATAGCCCTTGTTGCAGTCCGGCGTATCGCAGAGGAGTATCCATTCGGGATGGTCCGATTTGCCGCACTCGTTGCATGCCTCGTCCGCATCGTAGTCCTCTTCGTTTTCCTTGCGCACTGTGCGGGCACGCTTCATGGGCACCACCTGGGACTCATCTTCCAGCTCCGACTCCGGGGAGAATTCATGATCCGAACGGAAGAGCGGAGACCCAGGGTCCGTGTCGTAGTGCGGTGGTTCCTCTTCCTCCTCCTCGCTGTCCGCCTGTTGATCCGAGTCCGAGGACCAACCGTCTTTGCCCGGCAGCTTCTTTTTCTTCTTTTTAGCCTCCTCCGCTTCGCTGGCCTCGGATGACTCGTCCTCCTCCTCCTCGCTCCTCGAAGGCTCTGGGACCGTAGGATCTGTTTCTTTTTGGGCCTTCTTTTTCTTCTTGAGCTCCTGCTTCATGGACCGCAGGGCCACTTCCTCCTGCTTGCGGCGCTCGGCCTCCTCCTTGATCTTCTGCTGGGCAATGCGTCGCGACTGACGCACTGGCGTCTCAGAGTCGACGCATTCAATGATGTTCGTGGTGTCCACATCTCGCTTCTTGCGCGGACCACGTCCACGTCCCACTGGCTTCGCAGATGCTGGCTCTTCTTCCTTGGTTTCGCTGACTTTTGACTCACTTTCCAGGGGATCCATATCGTTGCATTCCTCATTTAAGGGGTCGTCTGGTTCCGGGAGTGCCTGCTCTTTGAGGGGTTCCTCTTTGAGGGGCTTTTTCGGTGAGGGTTCCTGCTCTTTGAGGGGTTTTTTAGGAAGAGGTTCCTCCTTTTTCACTGCAGTTTCTGTTTTTATTTGAGTCTTCAATTTGGTAGCCACTTTGGGGAGCTCTTCAGTATCCTCATCATCCTGCTCTTCGTCGGATTCGTGCTTCACTTCTGGCTTTGCTTCTGGCATGGGTTTCTCCTTGGCTCCTCCGCCGCGCGTTCGTTTGGGTTGCGGCAGTTCGGAATAAACGACTGCTGCCCCACCCCGACGCCCTGAACGACGAGCAGAGCCTTCAGGAGGGGAGGAACTCTCCTTTGAGGGCAGCGGCGGCGTTGTCTCTTTGACTGGAAGACTTTGTGGTGGCGATGGGGTCTTCTCTTTGATCTGGGCTGGCACTGGATCCTTTTCTTTCTCTTGCACTGCCACTGGTGTCTTCTCTTTCACCTGTGCTGGGACTGAAATTTTTTCTTTGACATCGGCTGGGGTTGGCGACCTCTCCTTGACTGCCGGTAGCGTTGGAGGAGCCTTCACCATTGTTGGCGGTGCCACTGGAGCCTCTATGATTGGGATCTTCTCGTTTGCTGGTGGCGGTGACGTTTCCTTCGCCGAGGCTCGTGCTGGCGACACAGACCTTTTCTTAGCGGGTGGCGGTGCCTTCTCCTTTGCTGCTGGCGGCGAAGGAGCCTTCTCCTTGGAAGGAGAGGGTAGCACACCCTTATCCTTGACTGTGTCTGTCGCCAAAGCTTCGTCTGTCTCTTTGGCTGGCGGAGACTTTTCTTTAGATGGAGGCAGCACCAAAGGTCTCTTCGTGGCTGGTGGCGGAGACGGATCCCTCTGCTTGATAGGTGGTTCTGACACAATCTTCTCCTTGACTGGAAGAGAAGGCGATGGAAGCTTTTGGTTGGTTTGGAGATGCTTTTCCTTGGCTCGTGCCGTCTGATCCGCTTCTTCCTCGATGTCCTGCTCGTTGTTGCGTTTCAATTTCTCGCTAACAGCCGGGGGTGCCTCGCTGCCCGATGATTCCTTGGAATCCTTGGCATCCTCGCTGCTGCGACGCTTGCGTTGACGCTCTTCCAGGACAGCAAGTGGCGGCGGTGCAGGTACGGGAGGAACTGTGGGCGCTACTGTTTCGCTATTCGTACGCTTCCTGGGTATGGCCTCCTCGTCGCTCTCCTCCTGCCGCATCTGCGTGAGCAGGTTCTTCTTCAGTGGCTTTGTTATCGGCGATTTCTTGGGATGACTGAAGGATGGGGCGGCTGGAGTAGCTTCTCTAATAGGCGGTGGCATGCTCTCCGGCAGAGTCATAGTCGTCGGCGCCGGTTCTGTGGGCTTATCGAGCACCTTGTCGGGCTCCTTTTCTGGCAATTTTTCGGGCAGGAACTCTGGCACCTTTTCGGGCGTTTTCTTGAGTTTCTTTTCGATAATCTCGGCGAGAGTTGGCTTCTGTTTGGTCACGGGTGCCTTCTCCAAGTGCCTCTTGGGAGCTATAATCTTGCGTCGACTGCGTGGATCTTCTTCGCCGCTGGAGGAGGTCGTCTCCTCGACCAGTGTCTTTTGGGCCTCAAATTTGCGACGTGCCTCCACATTTGAGCTCTTGGGGCGCATCTTAATGCGTTTTCCCCCCACATCCAGATCATCCAGGGCATCAGCATCTTCCTCCTCGGGCTGCTGGGCATCCACTTCGCTTTCGGAGGTGGATGGTCGGACGGGAGCGGGCACAAAGTCATTGAGACGTCGCTTGCGGTTGGGCAGAACAGACGACGGCTTGATATTGGTTGATAGAGCGAGTTTAGGTACAGATTCTACAGCTGGAGCTTCCCCTGTCAGAGATTTGCCTTCATTGTTAGGATTAGGGATTGGGGCCTTGGAAGTGCTAGGCAAATCACTTTGTATATTTTCGGATGGCTTTTCTTTATCGTGAGAGCCATTATTGCTAGTTTCGGACTTCTTTTCGGTTGTAGCCGGTTCGGAAAGGGGTTTAGGCGGCTCTTTCAGGAGCATAACCGATTCGGGGATGGTTTTAGGCTGCTCTTTGGGAGGCATAACCGCTTCGGCGACACTTTTAGACTGCTCTGTGGGCATAACTGTTTCGGCTACGATCTTAGTCTGCTCCTTGGGCGGCAATGTGGAATTATTGTCTTTTGGAAAGGTTTTTCTGCTGTTTAGAGGCAGAGTCCCATCAACCGTTTCCTTAACCGGTTCTGGGGATGTTTCCTCAGCCTTTATGGACTTTTCAGTATCAGTTTTGTATAGGCTAGTGGCTGCAGGGGCAACAGATTCCTTCTCGTTGCTAGTTTTCACTTTGGAATCATCTGAAATCTTCTTGGAATCCTCCACAAAGGTTTTTAAATCACTTTTAACCGTTTCGCAATCTTTCTCAACCTGTTTTTCCCCATCTATGGCTTCATTTTCGGTTTGTTTTGCATTGCTTTGTTCCGTTTTATTCGAAATAGCGTTTGCACAGCTTTTAATAGCTTCAGAAGTGGTTCTAACTGTTTCAGGGCTGCTTTTAGGCGTTTCAGAGCTGCTCTTAACCGTTTTAGCACTGCTTTGAATCGTTTCAGGGCTGCTTTTAATCGTTTCAGGGCTGCTTTTAACATTTTCAACACAGATTTTGGCCAATTCTAAGCTGCTTTTAGCCGATTCCTTATCAGTTAATAAAGGTTTAACGACTTTGGAGACCTCAATTTCTGTTGGAACTGGCCCATTATCGTTAGCAATTGCTTCAGGTTGAGTTTCCTTGGTTTCATTAGCGTTTGAGCTGCCTTTAGGACTCTTAATGACTTCCACAGACCCTTTGCTGCATGCCGAAGCTTCTTTCTCTGGAGTTGACTCATTTTCCGAGTGATTTTCCAACTCTTTTTCAATTGTATTATTCGCTTTGCTTTCTTTAATGTCATCTTTTAGTGTTGTTGCATTTTCTTCGATTGCTTTGGAGATTTTCTCATTCGTTTCAATCACTTTGATCTTGTAGTCTGGCTGTTCTGTGCTTGCTGCTTCCTGGGGCTCTTCATCCCCAGCTTCTTCTGAGATTTCCTTTGTTTCGTTGTCCGTTTTGGCTGCTGCCTCCTCTGCGGTTTGGGGCTCCTCCTTGCGGTCACTGCCGTTGCGTGGTGGTGTTCCCTCTCTGGTGCTGGTGCCTTCTCTCTCCCCGTTGGTCTTCTCCTCGTTTAGACTATCGAAAATGCTTCGTTTCGCTTCCTGCTTTGGTGTTTGCTTAATGGGACTCAGCTTCAGGCAGCCGGGTTCACCGAAAAAAAATGTGGCCTTTGGCTCAGAATGCGTTGGTGGGGACGCCGCTGTCGCCGCCGCTGGATCTTCCGCAGGAGCTTCGTTTTTGCCATTTCCCACGAGACACTCGGCGCCACTGCCCATGCCCATGACATGGATGACAGCCTCCTCGATGGTTTCACTCAGCTCCAGTACATTGTCGTCCGTTTCGTGATCGAAATTGTTTAGGAAAATGCCATCGTTCGGGTAGGGAGTGGCATCACAGTCGCTGCCTGATCCCTGGCCGCTCACCGTCATGGTGGGCTCTTCAATGGCTTCGCCCACTTCGTCCTCGTCTTCTTCTTCGTCATCCTCTTCGATATCCGCTGCAGCACTGTCGATATCGTCATCATCATCATCATCTCCACTGCCCTCCTCTTCTTCGGCCTCATCCAGTTCCGAGTCGTCATCTTCCTCCTCCTCGCCCGATTCGGCATCGTTTTCATCCTTTGTGCTTTCGTAGCGGCTTGGTTTTTTGATGCGTTTGGTGTCCAACAATGTGGGCCGATGTTTCTTTTGTTGCTCCTCCAGCGATTCTGTGGGACTGCGCTCCACATCCTCAATGGAACGTTTCTTGGCAGGAGCGGGTGAGCAGCTGCCTCCCAGTTTTGTTTGTGTGATGAGCAGTGGCTGAAAAACAAAACGAACATAGAATAAGGTATTGCCGATTCAAGGCACTATCTAATATACTTACCTTGACCCTTTTGGCCTTTTGTTCGTCTTGATCGGGAGAGCGCAGTTTGATCTTCAAATTGGGCACCAATTTCGCTGGCTCCTGCTTGATTTGTGGCTTCGCCTGCTCCTCGTCCTCTTCCTCTCCCTCGCCTTCATTGTCGTCCTCTTCTTCCTTCTCCTCGGGTGGTGGGGGCTTGGCAGGGCAACTATTACTGCTGCTCGTGTCCTCATCCGCCTCGCCAATATCCTTGGAGGGCAGCACCACCTCATTGCCACGCAGCCTGGCTATTAGATTCACAAATTCATCCCTATTGGTGGCCACCACCTGCCAGATCTCCTCATCCAGATGCTCCTGATAGATGCGCAGATTGCAGTCATCATCCTGGGTCAACCAGTAGGCGTGCCCCAGTCGATCACGACCAATAGGCTCCGATCGCAGGGTATTGGAATTCTGCGTGAGTATGTGGGCACGAAATTTGACATTGCGCTCGAATTGGCTCTCCAGGAGTTCCTAAAAATGGTAAGAAATTTTAGATATATGGTATATTGAGGGGTGGGGATTGATCTTACCCGAAATATCCTTAGTTTGACTTTTAGGCTCGAGTTTTTATAGCCAAAACGTTCGATTTCCCAGGCATCTTGGAGAGAATATCCGAAACAGAATTTACTGAGCGCCGATTCCCAGCTCTTCTCGTGCACCGTTTTGCGGGTCTTTCGCAGGAGTTTGATATGCAAATCCTTCAGTTCAGGAACTTTAATATGATTACAAATGTATTATTTATTATTCATTTAATTCTCTTATTTGTTTGTGCAACTCTGCAACGATTTCTCTTTCATTCACAAATGCAACACTGCAGCTCGCTCTCTTTTACTGTTCTCACCTCTCTCTCTCACTCTCTGTTTTACTAATGCACTTACTTCACCGCGATCTCGCTCTTACTGCTTTACTAATGCAATTACTACACAAACACACGAATTACAGCTCTCTCTTTCAATGAGTGTTGTCAAAAGAGAGAGCAAAAATTAGCTGGTATTTCCCAAGCAATTACAAATTATGGACAACACACAAATTTCTCATGAAAAGCCACCTCAAATTTATGCAGCTTTTATATAACTTGACTAATAAAGTTTTTCCTTTTGTTAAATTTAATTTTTAGAAGCAAAAACGCTGATTCAATTCTGCTCTCGTTCTCTCTCACAAACACACATAACACTTGACACTCACTCACACACTTGCACTCACCTTCATCGTTGTTTGTCAACCACTCCTGCAAATGCTTAAAATTCGGCAAAATCAGGCCCAAATCTTTGGCGAATTTTTGCAAAAACGCACAAATTACTGCAAAGTCAGGATCATTTGCACATGAATGCAGTGTAGTGCTCAGGGCATCCTCATCTTTACATTCCTCTGTTATTGCCTCTGTTGGTATTGTGGTCGCCGCTGCAGCCGTAGCTGAGGACGCCGCCATTTTTCATGCGTCCCCGAAACGGACCGAGAAAATTTCTTGTAGCACACGAAAGAAATCTTTGGGTATATACTACACGGATAAAATCGAATTATTTACACTAAAATGACATGGCATTTGTCTAAGTTTTAAGCGTTTTTATTGCACATCACTGTATTGCATCAATTTGTCATATTTGTGAATCCAAATTTGTCCTTTTACATATTAAATTCGTGCTTTAAAACAAAAGAAAACAATTCGGTCGCTCTTCAACAGTGTGACCGCGGACTTATCGACAAAATATACTGTCCGACCCTCAGAAATATAGCAAAATAATGCGTTTAATTTAAAAAATATGCCATAAATATACTGACGAGTTCAAGTTCTATTATACATATTCCTTGTTATTGATATTCCGTGGAATATTACTAGATATATTGCACATTTAGCCATGCGCACATAATTTTATACGATTGATGAATTAATTTTCTACTTAACTGGCCTATTCTTAATACTTGCTTTTATTGGATTTCTATATGCCGTCGAAAATGAAATTTAATAGATTGATTCGGTCGCAAACTCTTTAACAGTGTGACCGCCGACTTATCAATCAAATTTACCTCAGAAATATACCCAAATATAGGGTCTCATTTTCAAAATATACCTTAAATATACCGATGAAAAACCGAACTGAGCCCACTTAAATTCCCATCTATTTAAACTGGATAACAACTTGAGTTAAGCCGCTGAAAATGATAAAAATAATAATAGCAGTAATTACTCTTGTAGATCCATCCTATCCATTATCTTTACTTAAGCAAAAGATCACGGCATCTTTCACCTGAACTGCGCTAAAATTCATCAAGATTAATAATTTTCGTAGAGTTTATCGATAAGCTTATTTTAAGTACTCTTATTTATTGAATTGTGTCTAAAATAAGGTCTAAACTAAAAAGGTCAACAAAAAATTGAATTAAAAAACGTAAGTAAAACGATTGAAACGGAAGTGTATATGGAATGAGTCTAGTGTTGTGTTGCTCATGAGTGAGTGAATAAAAAAGAGTTGTTCACTTAAGTGAGCAACTGAACATGTTCCTTCGAAACTGTTATTTTTTGTTCACTTGTTCATTTTTGCTGACTTGTTCTCTACTCACTTTTTGAGCAATTTTGCTCCTCATAGGGCATTTTGCGCTCTGGCAGTTGTTGCTCATATTTGCTTTTACTTCACACTTCTTGTATCACCGGCAAAACTGTTTATTCTTTTGAAAATGCAGTATGTCGCTAATTCGATACTTCGAAAGTATAGTGCAATTTGGAAACATAGAAATTTTTTTGTTGTTATAAATGTTTGGTTAAAAATGAAATGTAACGTATTTTATTTGTGTTAAAATCTATGGTGCTTACTGATCTGTGCGTGAACAGTGAGCAAGTGAGCATGTGAGCAATCTAAGTGCGCGCGTGAGCATGCGAGCAGTCTAAGTGAGCACGTGAGCAATATGAGTGAGTTTACTCACTTACTAATAAAGAACAAGTGAACATGCTCACCAAAATGAGCAATTTTTTCCCAACGCTAAATGAGTCTCATTGTTGCTACCAGCGCTGCCACAAACGATGCTGCCAGGTGGCAGCACAAATAAATGCGAAAGTTGGCAGGTCTGCAAAGATAGCCAGCTCCAATAATGTGCGTGTTTTTGGGGTATATAATATATTTTGCTTTATTGTAGGTATATTTCCGGTATATCGGTGTATAATGGTATAGTTAATAAATTTCATCAATCCATTAAATTTAATTTGTAAAGATATATTAAGGAAGATAGGATATAGAAAGATTGTTTATTTTTTTGTATTAGCTGTCTCAAATGCTTCCCTGCATCATTTATTCCACTGACTAGCAATTAAATCTTTGTCACTCATTAACTTTGAAACAATTCCAATTTGGCGCCAATAGAGGGGCTATAAATCTGAGGGTGAATTTGCTTGCCGTTTTGACACCATGTTTAGCTCACACACCTTGCATACTTTTATATTTAGTGTAGTATTTTTGAGTATATTCTAGTACTTTTTACTCACCCTCTTGTCCAATACACCATTGTTTAAATCGTGCAGAGAGTTAGCAGCCCCAATAATGTGTGTGTGTTTGTTGATTTGTTGATAGAAAAAAAAAACAACAGTCGCTGTAAAGACAAACAAAGACAACGCCACCAGAAAACGAATTTTAATTGCTAAAAAATCAGATCCGAAGCACTACGCAGTTCCATCTGCCTGCGTACTGGTGATTGTGTGCGTGTGTTTTTTCGTGTATTTCCGCTGTTGAGAAAGTGCAATAAATCTGGACATAATAAGCTCTAGTGAAAGTGTTGTATCCCCAAAAAACCAGAAAGATATACAGATACAGATAGAGATATATAATCAGCAAAGGGAAGAATCAGCAAAAACGATGGCCACATATCAAATGAATTTCAATCAGGACTTTACGTAAGTTATTATAATAAATTACCATTTGACAAGACAAAAAGCCTTGGGGCTCCAAGAAAGAAGGTCACTATGGCGAAAAAATAAGAAAAACAAAATACAAACAGCTCTTTACAAATCGAAAAAAAAGACACCAAGGCAAAACACAGCTGCTCGTGTGAGCGGGGGATGTTAGTTTAGAGGGGGACGGTGCAATTGATGTCTTTGTATGACACTTACTGAAGCTACTGGACTAGTTTTTGGTGAACTAGTGATTTTATTAAAGTGGTTACCATATTACACTACACATTTTTACTGAAATTGTAAAAAATATTTGAATAACGTTTCAACATAAATCTATGATTTAGTGAGTGTCATACGAGCATTAATAGCTCAACTGTAACTGCTCTGATATCTGTGTATATGTGTATGTCATTCTTTATTTATTTTAGCGTGTGCGGGCGTAATTTGCATTTGTGTTTGTAGTTTATTGGAACATGCAAACAAGCAGTTCTAATAAGAACGACATGCATATTATGAAATACAGTTAAAGCATGAAGTGTGACGAGGAGGGAAGGGCACATTTCACTAAACAACAAAACAGGGAAAAGTTTTGAACTGAAGATTCTCCAGCTTGAATCTCTGTACTCTCCAATTTGGTAGCTTAGTGTACCAAACAAACACACACACGTACAGCCATACACAATGGCACATATTCACCTATACCCCATAAATGCGCAACAGCTGATGTCTCGCATTGCCTTATAAATAATGTATACAGCCTCACAAATCTTTGTGTGTCGTCTGGCAAGCTTAATTAACCAGTTTTTAGCACTCAGTGCGATTATTTTCGCTCAGCTGATGTCATTAGAATAATTCACTCACACATACATACATATGTACCTCTGTACACCTGTATTTTAGTGCCGTTACTTTAGAGCAACCATTCGGGTCTCGTTTCGTTTTGAAATGCCGTTAGTTTTGGGCAACTACTTTGATTTCGTTCAAGATTTTTGCTCTGTTTTTGCTTTTAATTTCCGTTTGTCCATCTGCCTCCCCTCCACACATTGCACCAACGACGCACCCAAAAGCAGAAAGCAGAGAATGCAAAGAACAACAGCAATCAATATTTCCACTTATGGCGAAAATGCAAAAAAAAGCACACACTCAAAGCGAAATTGCAACAATAAAAACAAGGCCAGCAATGGATGCGATGCGATGCGCGTCATAAAGCGGGGAACAAAGGCACTCTAGGCGGTAGACAAGAAAGAGACAGCTAGCTCAGCGCTTTCTAATCAGAAACAAATCAATTAGCTTCGTGCCCCTGGGCGAGGGTGAATGTACCGCTATAGAAAAAAGTAAATCAAATAAAAATAGAAAATACAATTGCAATCGAGCGGGCACTTCCTTTGACTTTTGTTTCAACCACAAGTTCAAGGGGAAACATTCACAATCTAAGGGGAACGAATGCACTGATACCCTATGTGCATGAGAGATAAAACGCAAAATAATTTTTCGTAGCCGTCTTTCGACACGTCTCCCGGCTATTAGTCATAGAACTGATGCTCTATTTGTGACAAAATCCATCAAAATTTGGTCATTCTGCTGCAGCTCAACTGCACACATTCCTCTTGCTCTCAGTGCATGCTTTTCCCATAATGCCATCTCTCTTTGTAGTTAGTTATCAAAGTCTAATGTCGTATGGCCATAAGTACAGCTAAATAAAATGTCTGTTTAAATTGCCTTCCCCTCTGCGTTACAAACATCTCATAGAACTCAGAGGCATATTTTTTGCTAGATGTAGACAACTGATAACTCTGTACGCTAAAAACACGTGATGTAACAGTGCCTTGTTATTGTTTGTGGCAGCTGCAAAGTCGGGAGGTAGTCAATATTTTTGTTGTTCTGTGTTCATTTGATTGCATTTTCCATTTTGTTCAGGTTTTTGATTCTTTTTTTTTTTTAATGCGAATGAACTGTAATCCACCTTTGACTGCTGACTGATACAGAATTTTATGGATTCCCATTAAGCTCTTTTAACTTAAATTTTTTTTCTTAATGATGCGTCATTGTTAAATATATAAACAAATATGATATGTACATATGTACGTATTTTTTCGGTTAATCATTGTGATTGTTAGTAAACAACAAGAAAAGATCGCGAAAACAACAAATAAACAACAACTAAGACCTTAACGCTATCGCATTGCTCAGTGGTATGCCAGGGGGGTAGTGGCGGGGGCCCACAACAAGGCCAGACGCAACCTTGGTCCCCATTTTAGCAACTACGATGACGGCTACGCCTTTGGCGGGAAACTAGTTTTGATAGGCAAAACAAAACAAAACCCAAAAAATCACCCGAGCGGGCACGTGTTGCGCTCTCAGAGCGAGATATAGCCTAGCTTATCGCCCAAAACGTGCTCTAAATACAAATACATAGCACATAATGTGCCAATTCTCTGGTATTCAAGAACAACAGCACGCAAGAGAAGAATTATGTCCAACTCTGGTTCAAATTTGGCGCTCAATATCAGTGCTAAAAAATAACCAACTAAAATGTACTAACGCGTATGAAGCGCTTTCCAACACTTAAAAAGTGCATAGGAAACAACAACAAAGCGCTGACATTGAAAAAAGCGATAATTTAACAATAATTGGGTGCAATTTAAAGCGAGAGAAGTTACAGAGAGCGAGAGAGCGATAGTGTGAATGGGGAAAAATCAATTTTCCGTTTACAATGGAGCAGCGTGCGAATTTCCTTGCACTCACCCTTCTCGACGCCCTGGAAGATGAGAACGAGGCGGACATCTTGTCGATGCTGGACAGGAATTTGATAAATGCTGGGATTGTGCCCTGCGACCGAGGACTGGCACCGCTCCACTATGTGTGTGGCATGCGGAACGAGGAGCTGGCACGCCGCATACTCGAGAAGTTTCTGGAGTGCCCTGATTTGGATGTGGATGCTTTGTGCGATGGCCAGACAACGGCCCTGCATATAGCCAGCATTTATGGACGAGCGGATCTGGTGCGGATGCTGCTGCAGCGAGGGGCACGCGTCGATCTGGCGGATGATGAGAACAAGCTGCCCGTGCACTATGCTATCGAGGAGTGCCACTTCGAGGTGCTGCAACTGCTGCGGGATCACATCTATCGCGAGAAACAGAAACAGAAGAACAGCCTGAGGCTGCAGTTGCCTCATCACCAGGCGGCCACCACCACGCCCAATCAGATCCTTAAGTACAACTATGATGTGACGTCGCCTTATTACATTAACATCACCCACAGGCGACAGAAGCCGCAGCCCAAGTTTCCAGACATCGCGGACAGTGCCACACTGCCGGACGAGGAATCGGTGAATCTCTTCTCCCTCACGGAGGCCCATCTCACGCAGCTGATTCAAAGCCAATACCGCGAAGATCCAGATCATCCAAAGCGCCGTTCCATCATTGAGAGCTGGCGCGAGAAGGTGGAGCGCTCCAGAGCGCGTCAATCGCTGATGCACAAGTATGACAAGCATGTGGAGGCTATAGTGGAGGAAGCACTGGCCCATGATGACTTCAACTACGAGCGGCACATGCAAAAGAAGCTGCGCGAGGAGGATAGCCTCGAAATGGAAATGGAGCTGCAGCAGCAGCAGATCGACGATGCATCAGCGCCAAATCGACAGGTCTTCCAGAAGCTGGTGGAGCAGGTATCCCAGGCGCAGGTCATAGAGCCCGAACCGGACAACAGTTTTGTCACAGCCAAGGGGGAAGAGGAGCTGCTCGTAAACTCCCCTCGACCCACGGACGAGTACTTTCTGCAGATCAAAGAGGCCTATGTTCACACGGATGATGAGAATGGTTTGGTCTTCTACGAAGCAAAGTTCCTGCAGAATGATGAGAACCGAACCAAGAGATTTGTAGAGCGAGTCACTCAACAGCAGCAGCAGCAGCAGCTGGACAGCACAGTCAGCACAAATCTCACACTGCCATTGGACTACGAGACGGATGCTCTGCGACAAGAACTCACGCAATTGGGTGCTCCTGTGGGTCCCATAACCAAGACCACAAAAAGGCTGTACATCAAACAATTGATCAAGTATAGAAGGAACACGGATGCCTTGCTTGCTGCTCAGAAGCATGCGCAGGAATCCCAGATCAGGTATTCGGTGGAGTTGCACCGGACCCTCCGTTCGCCGGAGGATTTCGAGCGAATTAGCGAGTTTATGCCACAAGAAGCGGCCTCATCGGAGCACTTTGCCACGGCGCCTGTTATCAAGAAAACCCTGCGAGAGGGCCACCTCAAACAGAGCTTCATCTACATGCTGATTGATCCGCGGATCTCCCGAAACCTACCAGGGGAGAGCACTTTCCTGGACAAATTCAGCATCTGGCAGCGATTTCTCGACTCTATCTTCTATGTGGGAAAGGGCAAATCCTCGCGGCCCTATGCACACCTGTACGATGCCATGCGCCAGCACACGCGCCTCAATCAGAAGAGGGAAAATGGTCGGGAACGAACAGAGAGGGCAGAAAGAAAGGGAGGATTTCGCACTCTGCAGCCGGATGTGTTCAAGTCTCCGCCTGCGGGAGATGCCAAACTTGGCAGCAAGAAGCTGGAGCGGATACTGGAGATTTGGCAGAGCGAAAGTGGCGTGGTATGCCTTCATGTGTTCCACAACATAATGCCCATTGATGCGTATACGCGAGAAGCCTCTATTATAGATGCCATGGGCTTGGGTCATCTTACAAATCTGAAGCGGGGCGATTACTACGGACCCGCTCAGTCCTGGACCATGAAACAGAGAAAACATTTGGGCATTGCCCTGCTCTACAAAGCGATGCATATCTACCTGGCCGAGGGCGAGTCCCAGTTGTCGCCCAGCGATTTAATATGATTCGATTAGAATAGGTTCTAAACTAAGTACTAAACTAGGTACTAAGTACGTACAAAGTGCAAAATGTGCAGCTTGATCTCACTTATGGGCATAGTTTTAATTCAAAGAAAAAAAGAAGCAAATAAATAAAATATAGAAATTGGGTCAACAGAAAATTCAAAAGGTAGAAATTTGGGTCATTGGTGGTATTTTCTGGAAAAAATGTACTAAAACATGCCTAGCGCCTCAGCGTTATAGTGCCGTCTCACTCTTACTTGTAGTTGTTCGGTGCGCTCAACAGGCTTGCCGCATACCCTGGGTTCAAATCCCACTGGGCTCCAATGGTTGTTAAATTTTATTCATATTTTTAAATTTTTCTCCTTTTTTATGAAGAATTTTTCAATTTCCATTGATATTTTCTTAGAGTTCTTCTTCTTAGAGTTCAAACAGAGTTTGAAATGCTATAATTGATGTAAATGAAACACATAGAAAATAATGCAACAAAATTGGTTCCTGATCGAATGATCATTATTTTCCATACATGATTTTTGGTGTTATTTTGGCTTACATTATATCAAGCGAAAACATTTCTGAGTTAATCAATGCATTAAGTGCAGCTGCTGCCTGTCTACTCAAACAACACCGGACTGCACACAAAACCTCCCTTAACTTCGAATCTCACACCCCTTAAAATCTCAAGTAAGGGATGCAGCTGCAACAACAAAACTGCAGTGGCCACAACAACAGTACAGTAGCCCAAAAGCATGCAGTGTTTTTTGGGCAGCCCGAAAATGCGTAACTGTTTGCTGGAGGTTTTCGTGGCCTTAGAATTCCCAACCAGTTCTGGCTGCGCCGGCATGGAGAAAGCAATGATTTCGAGTGTCAGGTTATCTTTGCGCAGTGGCAATACCGTAACCGATGAAGTTCTACTGAGGTGCGGTTATTGCTAGTTGAAAACTTTAACCAATACCCCGCCATGGGGACGTGAAATACCGTCCACTACGGCAATTTTTGCAAGCCCGAGAGGGCTAATTATCCAATACATATGAAAACTAAATTTAAGACTATGAAAGATCATATTTTAATGGTCAATCTGCACTTTACAGCTCCCTGTCCGTCTTGAGCCCCGCGGGCCTGAGGCTCTACTCGATAGCCGGACAGGACAAGGTTGAGGAGATCTTTGCCAAGGACAATACAGAGCAGATACGGATTGTAGAGCGTTTGTTCAATAGCTCGCTGGTGGTGCTGGTCACCTCCCAGAAACCCAATTGCCTCAAGATGCTGCACTTCAAGAAGAAGCAGGACATTTGCAATTGCTTCTATCCATCTGAGATCCTGTGCGTGCGGATGAATCGCCAGCGATTAATTGTCTGTTTGGCGGAGAGCATACACATCCACGACATACGCGACATGAAGATCCTGCATTCCATCGAGAACATAGCGCCCAATGAGCTGGGGCTCTGTGCCCTGTCTCTGAACTCACATTTGGCCTTCCCCGTCTGCCAGTCCAGCGGAGAGCTGCGCATCTTCAATGCGAATAAGCTGAGGACGGGGATGACCATCAAAGCCCACGACACGCCCCTCTCAGCGCTGACATTCTCGCCCAGTGGAGCGCTGCTGGCTACCGCCTCGGAGCGGGGCACTGTGATACGCGTGTTTTGTGTGAAGAATGGCCAGAGGGTGCAGGAGTTTCGGCGAGGAGTGAGCTGTGTGCGGATTGCTTCCCTGGTCTTTGCGGCGAGCGGGGATTTCCTGTGCGCCTCCTCCAACACGGAGACGGTACACATCTTTAAGATTGATGCGCGAGCCGTGGAGTCTGTGGAACTAAAGGCAATTGGTGAGTGAAACGATTAAATCTCCATGATTGCTTCAAGACTAAACTTTGTTTCTTTCAGCGGAAGTTGCTGCCAAATCGGACAAAGCCTCCAAGGAATCTGCGGCCTCGGCTCCGCCAGATACGGAAGAGGCCACTGCGACGCCCGTTGCCAGTTGGGGAGGAATGTTCTCCAAGGCGGTATCATCGCTGCTTCACTCGACGCAGGTCAGCGACGTCCTGGCCCAAGACCGATCCTTTGCCACAGTTGTGCTGGCTCAGGCGGGACTCAAGCACATCTGTGCCCTGACGCGAGTACAGAAGGAGCTGCGTCTGCTGATAGCCTGCGAGGATGGTTTCCTCTACGTTCACGAGTTCAATGCAGAGCGAGGAGGTTCCTGCAAGCTGCTAGCGGTCCATGATCTGAGGGGAGCCCTGGAGGATGTCATCGAGTTGCAGCTGAGCGAGAGTGTGCTGAAGATGCAGGCCAAGCCCGTGACCACACCTCAATCGCTGACGCTGCTCAAGAGCTGTGCGGCCAGTGTGCTCATTGAGAATCCCGATCCCATGCCGGATAACAGCTATGCGAGCATTCTCAGAGGAGATCAGGCGGATGCCATGTCAGGTGAGGGTTAGCAATAATTTCAACCAGGAAAACCTTATCCTATTTGTGTATCTCCTCAGATTCCGCCAAATTCCGAAAACTCTGCGATGCCATCGACACTCCAACGAAGCTCTACGATGAGCGACAATTTCCGCCCGTCGCCATTGCGGCCAAAGATTGACCAAAACGCCGCAGTTCCATAGACATGGTCTTTGTAGAAAAACCATAGAAATATCGACCCCAAAAACAATATAAGAACCCTTAGAAAAGTTGTCCAAAAAAATATATGAAAAATGTACTTTTAAGTTCTGCTAAAAAGCAAAATCAACAAAAAGGAAATACTCCAAACAAGAAAATTTAACAAAAAAAGTATTTTTATTTATATACTAACTGTAAGAATTAATCCTCTTTAATTTCCAATCGATTTTGTATATAAATATATCTTTAACTATAGAAACTTCCCATAATTGTTAACAAATTTATATCTTGGCTTTCTCATTCCGGGAATATCTCCATTTGTCCAAGTGTTCTCATAGATTCTCTCTAATGCAGTTATCCAAACTCTGTATTTTTGTATGATATATAAATATATATATATTTAGTGATATAACAAATTATTATAGTAATAGTAAAGACTTAGCAAATTGTGCGATAGAAGCTCAACAGAAAATCCAAAAAAAAAAAACTAAAAACAAAATTACAGGAGGAAACAAAGCAACAAATAATGTACCTTACAAAACTGAATGAAACACTAAACGTATTCAATTAGCTTTGCAAATAATTAATATAACAATTAAATGTTTAACAAACATAAACGTAAATTATAAATATACAAACATAAACTCGGAGCAGCGTAATGTCAATGAAAAATCTTAAGTATTTTAAATATTATTCATTATTGAAACAATAGTTATAATTTATGAACTTTAGGCATGTCATGACATAATTTAATATCTTATTCGATTTGCAATTAATGAAAAAAGCAATTAAAAAAAGATTAAAGCAATTTATTTATGCCCAAAATAATTTAAATTAATTTAATTAAATGAAAAAATTATAAAATACAAAAAAAGAAAAAAAAAGATAAAAACAAATAGAAAAAAATTTAAAAACCTGAAAAAAACAAATAAAAATTACAAAAACCCCTAAAACAATTGTGTGATTTGTTAATTAACTCAAGATAACTGAAGATAAATAATAAGTAAGAGGAAAGGTCTCTGTAGTGATACTTCTTTAAGAAATAATAGCTAAGAAATCATTATATACTGTATATGCATATTGTAGAACCTTTATGAGGTGTTGAAAAATCTTTTATATCACTAAGGACAGGCAGTTCTACAATCGAAAATTGATAAAATTTCCGTATATTTTATATGTCGTTCTGGAAGGTTATAGAGATTTCGATAGAGACTTTTAAAAGGCATTTTAAAAACATTTTACGATTCAAGAATTTCCGCTGGGATCCATTGAAACTTTATTATTAACAAGGGGAATATTTAAATGCTTTTCCTTGGATTAAAGAAGGATTGTAGTAAGAATATTATGCAAATTTTTAAATTTGTAGGGCATTATAGTAAAAATACTTGTTAAAAACATTTAGTGTAGGGCTATAGTCTTGGGAATAATGTTACTGGATCCCGTCTAACAATAAGATTTAGGTTTATTTATGGGTTGAAAGAGTATTGCGATACGAAACATGACTGGAAATAGTTGTAAAAAGTACTAATGATGCGAATTGTATGCCATTTAAGGTCTTAAGGTACACCATTACTCAATTTGCTGGCGCGTTGGTTCTTAGATGGTTCCATCTGATGGTCCTGATCCATCTCCTCCTGATTATGATGATGGTGATGGCGGTGATGGTGATGATGATGATGATGTCGATGGTGTGGTTGCTCTGGCAGTGGTATAACCTCTGGCTCTTCTTCGGGTTCCAGAACTTCATCCATTTGCGTTGACTTATCCACTTTCCAGACAATTTCCGGTGGAGGAGTTTTCTGGGATTTCAGTGAGAACATGGAGCCTATTTTCTTCAGCTTATTATGAACCGAAGCCTCAATATCGGGATCGGCCAAGCTCTTAAGGCTCTTCATGGATAATGGCTTCGATGTCGACGAGGGCTTAGAACGACTTGAACGGGATTTACCGGATTTTGAAGAAGAGCTAGAACTGGAGGATGAGGATGAGCTGCCGGAACCAGAGCTGGTGTGCACTGGCTTTGTGGTAATCCAAATTTTCATTGCAAAAAAAACTTCCGATCGTAAGGCTTCCTTGAGAGAGATCTGTTTTGGGAAAAGATTTTAATCAAACAGAATTCTGATTTCAAAATATATTAAATATGACTTACCTTCTCTTCAATGGCCACAGATTTCACATTCCAAAAGAATTCCGTGCATCCTAGAACCATAGCCGAGAGCAGACCTAATCCCAGGACCAGGAATACACCGCCCACATTCTCCAGACCCAATTCGGGGGTGTCGCCCCCACCATCCTCGCTCTTCTCACAGCTGCCGCCGCCATGCATCTCCTTCCACCACTTGCGCTTCAGCTCCGCCAGGTTGCCCAGCTCTCCCAGCTTCAGGACTGCTCCACTGATCTGCTTGCGATACGGAGAATCTATGGAAGAAATATGGATGTAAAGTCTATCATCTTCTGCTGGTGATAGTGGACTTACTAAAAGGCATTGCAATGCCATAGCTTTTATAGTCCAACCAGCCACCGATCTGCACAAGATCGCACTTTCTCTCTACATTGTACTCCAAAGTGGTGGACTCCATCATGAAGGCATAGAGATTCTTTCCCTTCTGCACCCTCTCAACACCTTCGTCATTTGTTTTGGTAAATACCGATGGACTGGCACTCTCCATGGCGGTCCACATTTTTTGATATGTCGTAAAGTTAGAGTCGCGAAAGAAACCCAAAGTGGAGCCGCCCAGCATGGCACCATATTTGATCTTGGTCTGGGCAGCCAGATCCTCGGCGTTACTGATGGAGTTACCCTGGCGAGAGTTGGTCAGAAAGGCAGCCAAATTGGCTGTATAGGAGTTCAACATCATGAGAGCAAAGAACCACCACATTCCAGTCACTAAACGGGTTGAGGCAGCCCTAAAAAGGATCATCATATTAATGAAAATCCCTGTTAAGAAGCTCACACCTACTTGGGCAATATATCGCAGCCTTGTCCCATCAACGATCCAATCGACAGCCACGTGGTGTTCATTATCGTCCAAATATTCTCAACTTCCTCGGGTTCCTTGCAGGGATGCGGATTCTCCCAGTCGTCGGGCGCCATACGGGCCAGAGCGAAGAGCAGCAGCGATATAAACAAATATGCCGAACCCATATAGATCCACACATCCAAGGAGAAGGGCGACAGGAATGAGAATAGATCGGTGGGTGGTATGGGCGGCTTTGAGAACAGTATGCTGATGCCCAGGGTCATAAAGGGTGGCGTAAAATCCACAGCCTGACGTCTGGATGAGGTCATTGTCAGATCACAGATGCCCAGATCAGCATTCTGGGAAGAAGATGGTTAAAATAAATAGTTTATAATTATAAACTCACCCCATCGATTAGTTGCCTAACAATGCCATCCCACAGTTGTGTGGTTGGATTGCGGGATCCATATCTGCCATCGGGTGACATACGGAATTCGTACTTAAAATTTAGCATTTGAGCGATGGCATCTATGAGATCTATGGAGTAGCCCTCGTATCGGGCGTTTCCATAGAGCACCTCACCCTCCTCGGGTTCTTTTAGAGTGAGAAAGGGCGCTCCCAAACGGGAGGATATAATAAAGGTTTTGTTGGACAACTTTTGACCCACTCGCTTTTCGCTTTCCTCATCATCGTTGAGGATATCCAAACCATTGACGGGATCCCAGGTGGCCAGATCCAAATATCCACCGGCATTCACTTCCATGAAGCGTAAGGTGAAGAAGCTTCGCTGGCCGTACTCATTAAAATCAATGCGACCCGTCGAGGCCTCATCAGACCGCTAAAAAATATAGATCTTTCAAGAGAGAATATCTTTGATGGGTTCAACATATATTCTCTTACCGCTTTCATAAACTCTATAATACGTCTACCATGGGGCCAGGACTTTTTCCTTTTGCATTCCACCTCAGGGGCTGTCAGTTCTTCGAGAATTCCCAGTTCCGTCAAACCCTTGGAGAACAGCCAGACTGCATCGTTGAGGAGTATCATCAGTGTCTTAACCCGACCTGGATCTACTTTGTAGTATCGTCCGTCTCTTTTCTCATGCTCTTCCCAATCGTGTACCACATTCTTGATGTGAAAATCTGTGGGATCCATCAGACGAACTGTCGTTATGTTTGCATCCACGCCAGAGAGTTCACCGAAGTCCATAGTGTGTGTGTCCAGAAGGGGTATGAAGACACTCTGCAAAGAATATAGTCGTTACTAGGTTCTATAATACATCTTTCTATCTAACTCCACCTGATATTCCCCCAACATTTTCAGTTCGTTTGCCTGTTGCAAGAGGCTCAATAGATTCGAGGGCGAACAGTGCACAATCAAACAATTATCTGTGGATAGTTTAATTTCCTTTAAAAATGGTCTGTAGTCCTCATCTGGACCAAGCTGTTTCATTGTAGTGGGCATGTTGCTGGGTTCACCGATTTGTAAAATATCCTGCAATTGTTGGAGCTCTAAAAGAGAGAACAAATTTAGATAATCATTTTACATAAAGAGGTTCTAGATACCCCTATCCGATTCATAGATAATCGTAAAACTTCGCCAGCCAAAACTCTGTACTATTTCTGCAAATCCTTGGGATAGCAATAGGTTATCGGGATGTACATTCAGGGTCATGGTGGAGTGCTGGCGATCTGGTATGGACTCATTGGGCAGCCAATCGTAGACAATGTGGGGTATGTCTAGGGTATTGCAAATCGAGGCAATAATATCTAAAAGAGATTCAAAAAATATTGTATTTTCTTGAATTTTGGATAAGTTGTTTCTGTATTTACCCGAACTACTGCCTGTACTGGGTCCAAAAATGGCTATAACCCCTTGGGAAATCAAATTGCAAACTGAAAGCAGACCGATTACAGAGAATACTTCGAGAAATTTCATTATTTCTTACCCATCTTTTCCATAATAAAACTATCATCCGTATTGGCATACACCACAGTCGGAACAAGTTCTATATTTCGTTCCAATATATTTGCCCGATCCACTGCTGTGCGAAATGCAATTTCTGCTTCATCCTTGTCCGATGTAAAGATGCTGCCTAGAAAATGAACGCAAAAATGTACGCAGCCCTTGAGACAGTGACCCAATTTCGTGCGAAACTTACCCACCATAAACTGCTGTCTAGCTCTGGCTAATGACAACAGAATCAGCACTAAATATATATTAAATAATGACCACATTTTATGAACTAGAGCTTTGGGTTTTCCATTTGAAGTAGGAGATTAGGAAAATGGTTTTTTCGCCTGATGATGTAAAACTTGCAGCGCGAAAATATTTCGACACAATATGCAAACTGTGTTGCTCGGAGGTCTGCAATGCAATGAGAGCTAAATCCGAATCGGATTCGGAATTAGAGCTATGCTAAAATTAAAAGCAGTTCAGCGGATATACACGAGAGAGAGAGAGCACCCTCTGGGGTTTGTTTTGCTCAACATATTCTAAACAATTACGGATCATAGGGATCTTAAAGAGAAAGAGTGATCTACTTGGATCGTGGCCAATAAAGTGTTGTCTCTCATTGAGATAAATATTTCATGTTTTAATGCTCGTACTACATTTAGACTTAAATTTGAAAATTGTCGCGAAATTTTGACAGATCATCAGTTCTGGATGATGGTTCTTCCGGTGTGAAGGTAGTGCTTCGGAAATTCCACAGTTTTCGGCAGCAAATTGTTCTTAGATTTGTCTTTGAAAACGCTTTTAAGTTCGATCTTCTGCTTCAAAGCTTATACCTTCTTGCGTACTAGATGGTCGTAGAACACCACATATCCTAATTTGGGAGAGTAAACCATCGATCTTTTGGCATTTCTCGAATACAAATTAACCTGGCCACCGACTGTGATAATCTTATGATCGCCCTTGTGCATAAACAACAGACCAAAATGATGATCGTGCATCACCAAATAGTTATCGCTGTGCGTATACTTGACCATATTGTAGCGTGCATTCGAATAGCTCAAATGATGGGCCATGGGCCTCACACGACAACGGCCCTCAAAGACGCACTTCCAGTCAATTTTCTTGGTATCGCTGCCGCCCATGCGCCAACTGCTGTCCAGATCTATGTAACCAGAGATCTCATAACCATCACTGGATATATATGAAGTAAACACTATGGTCTGTGAAGAGCCATCATCATTTATCTTAGCAAATATGTCTAAGTAACACCGCGCACTTACCGATAAATACTTATTCAAATTGGGTACTTCGCGTCGCTTAAACTCTAGCAGCACTGGATCATTGTTCGAGGGTGACATAAAGTCGCCCAACAGCCCCATCGCGGTAGTCTTTGGTCTGATGGCCTGTTCGGCAATAAGCACACGTCTATCGAACTCATCGTTGTCGTAGGGGACCTTGGTGGTGCGGTATCCCAGCTGTACAATAGATTTGATGATCTTTTGGTTGCTCAGAAAACGTTCATCGTCTGCAGTGGCAAAGGAGTTGATGTAATCATTGTATGTATCGAAATCTAAGACACTAAAGTCCACTTGATGACTGCCCATTTCGTGGTGTAAGAAGTGTTCAGTGTTTTTGGGTGGATTTTGGTGTACTTATTTTTTAGTTTATTGTTGTGTGTTTAACTGTTGTAGTGTTTCTGTTTGTTGTAGTGTTTTTTGTGATATTGTGTATTTTTGATGGAAAAATCCGAGACTATATGCCTAATATAGATGTACCTGGACAGTAGGAAGCGAACCTCAACCAATCCAAACCATTTGCATGCGGTAACTCTAAGCTGAGGTTTCTCTTTGGCTATGCGTCATGCGGCAGCGCCCCTCATTCTTCATTTATTCATTTTCATTCCAATGAAAATTGTAAATGGAAAGGGTTTTCCCTTACATTTGATCAAAATATATTTCATATTTGAATTAAATATTAATTTTACTGGCGATTAATTGCACTATGTTTGTATTTGGCTGTGTTTCCTTTTACTACGCCACAAATCTCTGAGTATATGGCTATAAGTGTGGGGCGTCTTGCGGCAGCGCCCCTCGGTCTGCACTTTTTCCTGGGATCCTGCGGGTAACAACCTTTATCTTGGTTTAATATTATAATATTTCCCTTTACATCTCTATTTGATATGAACATATCTGAGATCTGGGCGGCATGGGAATAGTCGTATCCCCTCTGTTGTTCTTTTTATATTACATCTTATACCAGTACTTCATCAAATATTATCCCCTATATCGTTATTTCTACACTAGTTTTCATCAACAAATATCTTTATTGAAATCAACAAAATCCAGAGCAAAACCATGTCTTACGACAGTTCAACGTCCACACCTGATGGATGGGGTGGACCCCGGCCGAGTTTTACATTGTCTGTCGGTAGTCGCTCCCTTGGAGCGCCCATGCCTAGCCTGGCCTCAGTTTTTGGTAGTGACTCACACTGGTATAATATGGTTACTTTAAGCGGATCTCGTTCCGGCAGCAGTTCAAGGGGAACAGTTGGAAAATCCATCCCTAGTTGGATATCTGGCCTGCGTTCGAAACGGCCAAGTATAACTCGCTTGATCCAGAAAAATTACGAAAATGCTGTAGATTTCAGATCAGTAGAGAGCAAACTTGATATCAGCACCCTATCTCACATTTCTCTTCCAATGGAAAAGCCAAGCGAAACGTTGGCCAAAAAAGAAAGGCTAATGGCGGAAACTGTAGCCAAATACGACTATGAAGACTATCTAAATACGTTTGTCAAGTTGGAGGACAGAAGGTACTTGACAAGTGAACGGGTCATGCAGATGTTAGTGCCGTTTAGAGTCATTCCCGGGAAGATTTTGTTGAGCGAATCCAAGTTTCAGATGGAACAAGCAAAAGGTCCTCTGGGGGCTCACTATATTCTCACGCAGAATACTATTGCCAATGATCCACTGGCCATAGCACTGGCCGAGCGCGAGAAACTCAATGCCGTTAAAGAGATTTCGGTAAGAGTATTCGGATTATTAATAATATATATTACAAAATTATATTCCAAAATTCCGACCTAGAGCATTATATTTATAAGCACTCGTGACTCCAAGGGCTTTAGCATATCTGGCTATATTGACTATGAACAGAGTTTACGGCACTGCAAGTTGGGCTATTCTTCGGCACACGATTGGGTCAATATTTTTGCCGGTAATAAGCGTCTCGAGCCGAACGAAAACGACCTGAGTTTCATCACATGGAAGACGGGCAAAGTCTTTTACAATAATTCGGATAATTACAAGATTATTCCGGACGCCATGAAGGGTTTGTGTTTCCAGCACAAGGGCGATGGTTGTGTGATTCTTATTGAAAAGCGCATGACTGAGGATAATCCAAAGTGCAGTTTTGTGGAATCAGCAAAAAATGGTTCGATCATTATCTATGATCATAAAATAAGGCGAAAAAATTGATGTGACATTAATCGAAATGCAATGAGTTTTATTTTTATGATCTGTTTATTTAAATTACTCTGGACAGCTGTTTGGAGATCATATCAAACCTCTTGGTAGATCAAAAAGGCTACCATAAACCAAAACAATATCAAGAACATCATAATATTTGGCACACACAATCGCGAAGAAGAGCCTCGGACAAAACAAAATAATCGAGCAGCAATAGATCAGAGCACAACCAGACTAGACCAGACTGGCTGATGCCGCCTACGTCACCGACAAGCGTCATAAAGAATCTCAGGAGAGCATAAAAGAAACCATACGTATATCTAGTAAAGTTCAGAGAGAACTGGAGAGAGTGTTCCCCATTCACGACCAACATTCAAAGGGGACCGTCAGTAGGCGTTTAAAGCGCTCCAAGACTGGATGCTGCCGTCGCGTTGAAATAAATTCACAAAAATATATTTTAAAAATTCTACTTTACGTAATTTTGTGTGTGTTTTGGTTTGTGTGTGCCGTCTATATGTAGTTGAGTATTGAAAAAACGAAATGGCCGCTGCATTTAGAAAATTCAATTAGTTTCGAGTGTTTTTGTTTTTGGAAGCCAAAAAAGTAAAATGCATTTCTGTCCAGTCTACATTTATGCCTTTGTATTATTCAAAACGATTTTGGCCCTGGGTGGCGATGGTCGTAATGAAATCACAGTGGGTAGGTCTTCAGTCATTCATTCGAATGATTTATTCAATCATTTCCATTCTGTTTAGGTGCCATTTTCTATGAAAATGAAAAGGAAATCGAACTCAGTTTCGATCAGGCATTTCGTGAGGTCAATAATTTGAAATTCGCGGAACTGCGTTTTGTCACTATCAAGCGATATATGCCATCGAATGATAGTTTCCTGCTACAACAGATTAGTGAGTATCGATCTTGAAGAGAACATGGCCATCGTAAACTTATGAGAAATTCATCTTCCGTGTAGCTTGTGAACTGATTTCCAATGGCGTTGCGGCTATTTTCGGACCAAGTTCAAAGGCAGCTAGTGGTACGTTCACGTTTCTCTCTAAGGCTGAAGACATATGTTCTATTCTGGTTGTTCTCTTTTCTTTTTGTTGTTGTAGATATTGTGGCGCAAATTGCAAACACGACCGGCATTCCACATATAGAATACGATCTGAAACTGGAGGCTACGCGTCAGGAGCATTTAAATCATCAGATGTCTGTGAATGTGGCACCCACCTTGTCCGTTCTATCGCGTGCCTACTTTGAGATCATCAAAACGAACTATGAATGGCGCACCTTTACACTCATCTACGAAACGCCAGAGGGTGAGCTATACCATCAATCAGATACCCTTTAATCTCTCATTCTGTATCTCTTATAGGTCTAGCACGCCTACAAGATCTTATGAACATTCATGCTCTTAACAGCGACTACGTAAAGCTCAGAAATCTGGCAGACTATGCAGGGGACTATCGAGTCTTATGGAAAGAGGCAGATGAGACCTTCCATGAACATCGCATCATATTGGATTGTGAGCCGGGAACATTGAAGGAATTACTCAAGATCTCTGTGGACTTTAAGTTACAGGGACCTTTTAGGGTAGCCTATCCATTGGAAAAATATCAGTATCTATTATTAAAAATTATGATATTTCTAGAACTGGTTCCTCACACATCTGAATACGCATAGTTCTGGATTAAAGGATATTTATAATGAAGATTTCAAGGCAAATATCACATCAGTGCGTTTGAAAATCGTGGATCCCAATCCCTTTGAGAGGAAAAAGACCCGCATTAGCAGAGTGGATGTAAGTTTGTACGCTTTTTCAAAACGGACTGAAAGAAGCGCGTAGATCCGAAAATTTTGGTTTTTTTACTCGCTCACTCATTATTGAATTTTCTGGTAGAGAGAAAGAGAAAGCAACAAACAAATCTTGTCAGTTTTTATCCGCAGTGCTCGCACTCGGTTCAGTTTGTATGTAAAGACATCAAAAATCCTCTCTCACATATTCTATCCTTAGCAAATACTGGGAAACCAAACGATGCTACCCATACTCATCTACGATGCTGTTGTGCTGTTTGCCAATTCGGCCAGGAATATTATAGCTGCCATGCAGCCCTATCATCCACCAAATAGACACTGTGGCAGTCCAAATCCTTGGATGCTGGGACCCTTTATAGTCAATGAAATGAAAACAATATCGGAGGATGATGTGGAGCCGCATTTCAAGACGGAAAACATGAAACTAGATGAAAACGGACAGCGTACACAGTTCAATCTGGAGATCTACAAGCCCACTGTGAACGAGCCTTTGATGGTCTGGACACCGGATAATGGGATAAAGAGGCGTCACATTAGTCTGGATCTAGGGGACTCGGGTTCTACACAGGATTTCTCGGTGCAAAGGAAGGTCTACACTGTTGTTACGCACTATGAAGAGCCATATTTTATGATGAAGTATGAAGCCAAAGCAGTCTGTGGATGTTTTTTCAAGTGTTTTCTACTTCTTTCTTTTAGGGAAGATCATGAGAACTTCAGAGGTCGCGAAAAATACGAAGGCTATGCTGTGGATCTCATCAGTAAATTGTCAGAGCTTTTGGAATTTGATTATGAGTTTATGATTGTCAATGGCAATGGCAAATACAATTCAGAGACCAAGCAATGGGATGGCATTATAAGAAAACTAATAGATCACGTGGGTAACAAAAAGAAAACTATAGAAATTTGTTCTTAATTTGAGTTCCAACCACAGCATGCCCAAATAGGAGTCTGCGACTTGACCATCACCCAACTTCGACGCTCTGTGGTGGACTTTACGGTTCCCTTTATGCAGTTGGGGATCAGTATACTGCACTACAAGAGTCCTCCAGAGCCAAAGAACCAATTTGCCTTCCTAGAACCCTTTGCTGTGGAGGTCTGGATCTACATGATCTTTGCACAGCTGGTGATGACTTTGGCTTTTGTGTTGATAGCCAGGTGAGAGTCCTTATGAGATCGGCTTGTATGCCTTATAATTCAAAGTTCTTTTTGTAGACTTTCCTATCGCGAATGGTTGCCACCAAATCCGGCCATCCCGGACCCCGATGAATTGGAAAATATATGGAATGTAAACAACTCCACGTGGCTTATGGTGGGATCTATCATGCAACAGGGTTGCGATATACTCCCCAGGTTGGACATGGTATTCTAAAGAAAAAAGATCATAAGATGATCATTATTTTGTTTTATTTTCAGAGGCCCTCACATGCGAATTCTCACGGGAATGTGGTGGTTCTTTGCTTTGATGATGCTCAGTACCTACACGGCTAATTTGGCTGCCTTTTTGACCAGTAATAAATGGCAGAGTACCATCAAAGATTTACAGGGTCTCATTGAACAGGATGAAGTGAAGTACGGCAGCATGCGTGGTGGCAGTACTTCGCTGTTCTTTTCGGAATCGAATGAGACCGACTATCAGAGGGCCTGGAATCAAATGAAGGACTTTAATCCATCGGCATTCACCACCACCAACAAAGAGGGTGTCGCACGAGTACGAAAGGAAAAGGGCTCCTATGCTTTTTTGATGGAGACTACCAGCCTTACCTATAATATTGAAAGGAACTGCGATTTGACACAGATTGGCGAACAGATTGGAGAGAAACATTATGGTTTGGCAGTGCCATTGGGTAAGGATTTATCTAGCTTAAACTATACAGAAATTTATTTGTACATTCCCTGACTTCGATTTAGGAGCTGACTATCGCACTAACCTAAGTGTTTCCATACTTCAATTGAGCGAGAAGGGTGAGCTCTACAAAATGAAGAACAAGTGGTGGAAGAACCACAACGTTACCTGCGACACCTTCCATGAGGTGGACGGGGATGAGCTATCGATTATCGAGCTGGGCGGTGTATTCCTTGTACTAGCTGGAGGCGTGCTCACTGGCGTGATTTTGGGCATATTTGAGTTCCTCTGGAATGTCCAGCATGTGGCTGTTGAGGAACGTGTCACACCCTGGCAGGCACTGAAAGCGGAACTCATCTTTGCCCTCAAATTTTGGGTGCCCAAGAAACCCCTAAGAATATCCGGTAGCAGCGAGAAATCCTCCTCTCGAAGATCATCTGGCTCTAAGAAGAGTCGCAGCAAGACGGGCAGTTAGGAAAACAAAACATAAACTGTGTAATAACATTTAAAGTTGAATTAAAATTATTTCTTGAACGTGAAACTGAAGAGAAGTCCACAAGGAAATTGGGCAATCTATGGTTTTGGTCGCTTTGATTTATGCATATACATATGTACATATATATTTTGTGCTATATTTATAGAGACTTTTTGTGGACTACTTACTTAGAGGGTGTTTTAGGGGTATATAAGACTAGATCGGAGGCTTTTATGTAGATCTCAAATATGGTTTTAGAGAGCTTAAGAGCTTATTAAAAGTATCTGAAACTCAGGAAATATTTCAGTCTAAGGGTATAAAATATTCGACTCTCTTACTGCTTTTTTGTGGTACCCTACTTAGCCGGCTATGGGGGCGTCCGGTTAGCCTAATTTTAGAGAACATTTAGTTTTCATTTATTGGTCCATTTCCAGCTACAGATGATGCCCAGGGTCTGCCTGGTCGATACAGAGCGTTTCTCTCTCTCTTTTTTTTTGTGATGCGTGTTATCCATAAAACAAATGGCTCCTTCCACCCACGATTGTTGTTGCTCTCCCAGATAGAGAGAGAGAGAGAGAGAGAGCGAGAGAGAGGGATCGTAGACAGCTCCATAAAATTTCATTTTTTGTGCTTCTTTCTCAGTGCCTTGCGAGCAGTACCCCGGCACGGATCCGGACCAGTTTTCGTTTTTTTTTGTCAATCTATACTTATTTTTTACGCCCGATTGGCAAAAATTTCGAGCATTTTCCTAGAGTATTTCGTGAAGTGAATTGGAACACTGGGATATCGAGTCTTAAATATTTATCATATCGATATAATGCTTAACTTTAGATGACACATCGTGATGTCTGTCATACAGTTCCTAGTGCTAGTGGCTCTATTTTGTTCCAGCAACGCCAATGATGAGGCTTTGGTGGTGAAAATTGGTTGGTAGACCTGCACATATGAGTCTTGTATATAGTAAATATGTAAAATAATGTTCATTCAGGGGCCATTTTCTTCGATACGGAAATGAAGCTCGCTGAAGCATTTGATGTGGCCGTGGAAGAAGTGAATGCCGTAAATCCTAACCTACGATTTGAACCCATCAAACATTATATGACAATTGATGACAGCATTGTCTTACAGGATCTTTGTAAGTAGTTTCCAATCTTCGTTAAGGATTGTATATATATGTTTGAACATTTTTTAGCTTGCGAATTGATTGGAAATGGTGTCGCTGCTATTTTTGGACCAAGTTCAAAGACGAACAGCGGTAAGTTCTTCTGTTTTTTCCTTTTTCCGGGCCATAGTTAAATTATTTTTAAACAAAAATCATATGCTCTAGCGTCATAAAATAATGTCTAGCCATATACATATATGTATAAATCCATAAAGATTAGAGAGCAAGAGAGAGGGAGAGAGGGAGAGTCTTCTAAAGGCTCGTCCCATTATGCCGCCAACCTCGTTAATGATTCTTCAGAATATCCAAACACACTCTCACATAAAAATCGGGCCACGCAGCATCCAAAAGATCCAAATAATTTTGCAGTAAATAAAAGACTTTTGAACCGATGCCAAGAATACATTTCCCCCTCTCGATTGTCGTTTGGTTTGTGTTGTGCTCTTTGTGTTTTGCTCAGCACTTTCATTGTAGGTTTTGTTAGTTCCCCAGATCATTCTAAACAAAAATATACACACTCTCTCTCTCTCTCTCTCTATATATATATGTATATCTCTTGTTATCGTGCTCTCTTTTGCAGATATTGTTGAGGTTTTGTGTAATATGACGGGTATACCACATCTGCAGTTCGATTGGCATCCCCAGCAGTCGTTTAGGGAGAGACTCAACCATCAGATGACTGTCAATGTGGCACCAATGGAACTGATGCTATCGAATGCCTTTTCGGATATTTTGGGCAGCAAGCCCTTCGATTGGAAGTCCTTTACCATTGCCTATGAGAAGAGTACTCGTGAGTATTGTCACTCTATTATATAAAAAAGTTGTTGGTCCGATATTTTACTTTAAGCAAGTGAGCCGGGGGTTGGCGTACAAGCGAAGCGAGTGCGCAGGGGACTTATTTTAAGTTTATGTTCTTATTGTTAACTATGTATATTATTAGGTTGTCTTTTCAGTGTTAAAACCTTACTAAATTCTTTAAACGTCTCATCTAAAAACTCTTACACTCTACTGAAATTTTGTTCTCTACTATAACATTAAATATCCGCAATAGCATTCCCAACATCTTAGATATCTCTGGAATCTTATCATCAATAGTATGTTAGCTTTTCCCAATCAATACCTACCCCCTTCCTCCCTTAGACCTCAATCGCCTGCAGCACATCTTTGCCTGGAAACAGCTTCATAAAACGGGTATCAAAATGCAGGAATTCCAGCGAGGTGACGACTATCGCATACTCTGGAAAAGAATCAATAATGCCCGAGAAAAGTTTGTGCTATTGGATTGTCCCTCCGATATTCTGGTGGATGTAGTAAATGCCTCTATAGACTTCAATATGACAGGGTCTTTCAATGTGAGTATCCTTGATATACAACAATAAATGATTGATTTTTGATGATTTCTTCTTTCGCAGAATCTATTCCTAACCAATCTGGATACCCATGTTAGTGGCATAGATCGTTTCTATTCCAGAGAGTTTACAGTGACAGTGGCAGCTGTAAGACTACGAACATATATTCCACCGCCAGTTCATGATGAAATTGACGTATTCGACAACGAAGTGGATACTAGGGTAGGTCCTCAGTATAAAAGTGACTTTAATTGGTTCGTAAATTAATCTTTTTTTATAAAGTTTGATTCTCTAGGAACGCAGCTCGTCTATGATGCTGTGGTTCTATTCTACAATGCTCTCCTGGATATGAGTCAACGATCAGGTTTCTATATGCCACAGTTTAGCTGCGGCCATGGCTTTTGGCAACCAGGACCACATGTAGTACAGAAAATGAAGGAGGTAGATGAGAGCACATCAAAATCCAATCAATAACTAATCTTAAATGATGTTTCAGCTCACACCGAAGCAAATAAAGCCTCCCTTCAAGACCCAACGTCTGAAGATCAATGCGAATGGCCAGCGTGAAGATTTCAATTTGGAAGTGTACAATCCTCTCATCGATCGCGTGACCCACATTTGGAATAAAGATTTTCAGCTTGTGGATATTGAAAAAATAAAGGAGAACTCCAGTCAGGCGGTGAAGCAGAGACGTCTGGAGAACAAAGAGGATTTCTCGCAGAAACCCGTGCGGTTTACAGTGGCCACTCGTGTGGGTAAGCCGTACTTTAGCTGGCGGTAAGTAAGCCCTAAATATTCTAGCTATGTCATTTATATATTTCTACACCTTTTTTCAGAGACGAACCCGAAGGCGTTCACTATGAAGGCAATGAACGTTTTGAGGGCTATGCCGTGGATTTAATATATAAATTGGCAGAGGAATGCAAATTCGATTTCGATTTCGAACCTGTTAGGGATAATAAATATGGTAGCTATGATGCGGCAACCGATGAATGGGATGGCATCATACGACAGCTGATTGACAATGTAAGACAATGACAGCATCTATGCTTGAAAGATACACAGCACAATTTCCACTCCTCTCATTCTAGAATGCTCAAATAGGTATCTGTGACTTGACCATTACCCAGGCACGTCGTTCAGTTGTGGATTTCACTGTACCCTTCATGCAATTGGGCATCAGCATTCTGTCGTACAAGGAGCCGCCACCCAAGGCGGATATTTATGGCTTCCTCAATCCGTATGGTGTGGAGGTTTGGCTTTATGTAATGATTGCCATGATGATCACATCCATGGCCATGATTTTGGCAGGACGCATGGATCATGGATCATGGGAACCTCCGACGGAGAATGGCAATCATGAGCTGGTGCGTCACAATATCTGGAATATGCATAATACCATGTGGCTGGTGTTGGGTTCTATACTAACGCAAGGCTGTGATCTGTTGCCAAGGTAAGTAAATCGGAATACATTTATTTTTCTTATATATATATACATTTTTTTTTTTTTCAGGGGCCTTCCCATGCGTCTGCTGACCGCTTTCTGGTGGATCTTTGCCCTGCTTATATCTCAAACATATATCGCAAAACTGGCTGCCTTTATAACCTCTTCGAAGTTGTCGGGGAATATAGCCTCCCTGCATGACCTTATTGACCAAAATAAGGTACAGTTCGGGACCATACGCGGTGGAGCCACATCCGTTTACTTTTCCGAATCTAACGACACGGAGAATCGCATGGCCTGGAACAAGATGTTGTCTTTTAAGCCAGATGCCTTCACCAAAAACAACGAAGAAGGTGTGGATCGGGTAAAACTAAGCCGTGGAGCCTATGCCTTTCTCATGGAGACCACCAATCTGCAGTACTATGTGCAGAGGAATTGTGAGCTAACACAAATTGGAGAGAGTTTTGGCGAGAAGCATTACGGCATAGCAGTGCCATTGAGTGAGTGTTGAATGTACCTACCTGCATTTCTCCACGGGAATTCTATATATTTTTTCTATTGCCTCTATAGATGCCAATTTTCGATCGAATCTCAGTGTGGGGATACTCAAGCTCAGCGAACAGGGTGTTCTCTACAATTTGAGGAACAAATGGTTCAATAGCAATGAAAGCACTTGTGTCGAGGACTCGACCATCGATGATGGACAATTCGATATGGATTCTGTGGGTGGACTTTTCGTAGTGCTCATTGTGGGCCTATTTATTGCATTTCTCATTGGCATAGCAGAGTTCCTGTGGCATGTCCATCGCATTGCTGTGAAAGAGATGGTTTGTACTTTTATAAATATGTCCTTCGAATATGATGATTTATAGTTCTACATTTATAGATACCCACCAAGTTGGCTTTGAAAGCAGAGATTAACTTTCTCTTACGCTTCTGGCTGACTAGGAAGCCTTTGCACACCTATCGCCAGAGTCGAGACTCGACCTCCACGGGCTACTCCTCCCTGCAACAGTTATCGAGTGCCTCTAACGAAAAAAAGAGGAAAAAGACAAAGAAAAGAGCGGAGTAGTAAATGGATGGAAAGGCTTGCAAACATTCAGTGAAATATGTATATAGAATAGAGATAGGATACTATAGAGCTAAGCTTTGAAGGGAAACCATGATATAATTTAAAAGAAAACAAATGTGTATCATTATGGAATTTATTCTACTGGCTTTGTGTTTGTGGCAGAGTGGATAAAGTAGTAGATGTAGGAGGAGTTATTATTACAAGCTAAGGTCGTTCGAGAGCCGTGTGGATCGTGAGATCGGTAGCGTATACTGTTATCCTGGGTGCTAACATCGCTGTTGCTCTGTTTCAGCTGCTGCCCTAAACACCTTGTACTCTGTGATTCCTGCTATTTCGAATCTCCGGCGTAATTTCCAACCAATTCCCTTCCAAAAACAGCGTTTTATTAAAACAATGGCAGGGACATTCAAGGCAGACAACAGCAGCTTTGTAATCCGCACTCATTAACATTCCCGACAGCCAATTGCCACCCACAAATTTGGGCATCTTAAGGGCCCATAGACCCGTCAACTACCGGGACATAATTAACCCTTATTTGTACATTTTATTGCCTGCACCATAAAAGAGCCATTTAAATTACAAAGCGCAATACAAAAACCTTTGGCCATTCAGCCATTTGGCAGGCCCGGCCCGGATCGGCGTCGAGTCGAGTGCTGGCATTCAGGGTCCAGGACCCCATAAAGGCCGCGAAATTGTCTGAGGTGGAATGCTGATTGTTGAGTGGCATTTAACTTTAAGGAAATTTTCGACGGTCGAGGTCTGGCTGCTGTTGCCTTAAAGCAGCTTACAATTTACAGTTTGGCCACCGCCGCACAGTGGGCCAAGCCGCTTAACTGCCATAATCCAAGTATCTGGCCAGAACGCAGCAGCAGCAGCAGCATCAGTAGACCCACACTTGACCCTTTCACAGCTACTCCTCTTTCTCCTCTCTTCTTTCCCATCCCAACCCATTCATTGCCCTTTTCTGTTTTCTCGTTTTTTTTATGTTGCGGGACCCATCAATGTTGAATGGGAGTGCGTGTCTGATGCGGGCAATGGTCATCATCGAAGTGGTTTCGGCAGGAAGAATTTGCTTGTTAGGTCATAAAAATTCAATACCTAAGGGGGGAAACTAGTGGCCAGACCTTGATAAAGCTTCGCAAAAATCTGCTCTGACTCTCTGAGTGTAATTGGAACTGGTGGTGGCTTGTTTAAGGGTCAACTGGTTTTGGAAGCCACCACCCCAAAGCTTGACCAGTTTTTGCAACCCTTTTTGATGGATGCACTTCTATAATTCCCAATAGGTTAAAGCTCCCTTCATGTACATATAGATTGTGCATTTGTCCAACTCTTTACCAGCCTTGTGCAGTGGCAATACCGCAAGCAATGAAGCTTCAACTGAGCTGCGATTATTGCTAGTTGAAAACTTTAGCCAATAACTCGCCCTCTGTTCGGTTCCGCAATGTTCTGATACAGTGAGGCAATTTTTTTAAGGTCCCAAAAGGGCCGAATTATGAATACATTTCAAGACGGATAAGCTTTAGAGCTAAAGGATGGTATTCCATTAGAAACCATTAGGGCAACAGCTCTGCTAGCACTCCAGGTTAACAGCCTGTTATGGCTCTCTGTCAAAGAGCCTGTGGCCGCTGCCGCAGGTGTACATATCACACGGCTCTCGAGCGGCCATAGCTTGTAAGCTAGATATTATTAAGCATCAAAACCCAATGTGAACAGCCATGAAAATATACATACAGTAAATAGCTTTATCTGCCGTTTTAAAAAAGTATAGGATTAATATTATTATGACCAATTATTCTGCTAATAATATCCGTAAATTGTCCGACATAAATCGCATTCGCATTCTTTCAATCATTCCAACCCAACACCCTCAGAATCCAGCTTATTCATTAGGTGGGGATCAACGCACGAGTGGCTCACAAATCATTTAATATAGACATTCCTCGCATCTCTGTCAAAAGTGACATGGTCCCACAAGCTTATTAACCCTTGTCAGGGAAATGCCTTCGGGCCAAAAAAAATCCACTAAACGGATGTTGGCCATCAAACAACAACAAAAACTACAACACCCCATAACCCCCCACACACAGGCAGAGAAAAAAAAGCCATAAAAAACAGACGCAGTCGATTGCCTCATCGACGGAGCGGAAACAATTGACTCGATTACACGGCAAACAAAAACAACTTGCCAACATAAACATGACAGACCAATAAAAGCAACAACAGGACTCCACTAGGACACAAAAGGATACAACAGAAAAAGGGCAGCCAACCCCGGAAAAAGAGGAAATACTCATTCTATCAAATAAACGGAAGGTTCGAGGGCCGAAGACCGTGATACCCTAAGATAACCAGTTGTCTTATAGGAGCCCAAGTTTGATTGATGCCAGAAGGTTTTTTTTTTTATTATAACTGGTTTATATTTTCTATAAGCGATATCCTATATCTTTATCCTGTATTATTCTGTGTATCTACATATATCCTACGTCTTCCAATCTTGGCGGCTTTGATTTATACTCTTTTGAATGCCGATAGCTTAAAATCTGAGGCCCAAATTTAGCATTGAACCATATATTTGATTTGAAATTGATGTTGTTAATTAAATACATAGGTATGATAAAGTAAAAGTTATTAGGGGAAAGCTCTTTGCGCACTCACTTCCCTCGTTTGCCAATCCCCGACTCACTGACCCATTCTCTCCGTCCTGAGATTGGGACCCACGCAATTCCGACATGCTCACACGCACATTGGATCTTTTTAGATTCGTCACATGTTCATTTTGCATTACTATTTGGCATGTTCTTTGCTTTTTTAGATCGACGGCCCACATATTAGATAGGACCTCAAATATCATTGCAAACCTCTAATCAAAATCAAAGCACCCTCTTCTAGGGTATGACCAGAGGAATAACAATGTTGCAAGTGTAAAGAGTGCGTGTGAAGGGATGTCCGATGGCATTGGGTTTTTTGTTTCGTGTTTTGGGGCTTGGGGTTTTGGATTGACCTCAGCCAGAGAGAGAGAGAGAGCTCGAGCTCACTTCTTTGGTTGATTTTTTTATCCGACATCTTTTTGAGCATGCTTTGATTTGAATAAATGTGTGTGTTGACTCCACTGCACTGCCGTTATTTTGATTTCGTTGTCGAATTGTTTGCTGCTGCTGCGAGTGAGTGCCTTAAACCGCATTGTAGAATTTTCGTTATTGTTAGATATGCCACACAATTTGAAAAACGTTTTGGCAAAAAAAACCACAAATTGTTTTATTATCTGTGTGGCAGCATTCTTTTTTTAATGGTATATAAAATTTTAATTGTTATTTATTGGGAGGCGATGGATGGGTGTGGAATCCAGTTGTTGTTGGGTTAATTGGTTGCTCAGCTGGTGACCAAAAAGGGGGTGCAAATATTTGTATATGCAGTGAAGTGCATTCACTAAATTAAATTTCAACAATTATTCGATCTAGTAAACAGGGAATACTCTTTTGTTGGTGAAACATTGATTCATTTTGTTCATGGTTTTACATGTTGAGTTAATTCAGTTAATTAAATTAATTTTTAGATTTTAATTGGTAATTATGGAAAGTAATATAACAGGCAGGATGGAAAGATAAAACGTATACGCCTCGTATCAATCATACACTTTCAGAGAAAGTGTAGGAGTAGGCACAAAATTTCGATGGATTTTTGAATCAGTATTCCGCCAATGGTGTACGGTGCACACCCACACAAATCTCCGCCGGAAAGTGCAGTTCTAGGCATCCACAATGCATTTTAAACAACAAGTTGTCGAGAGGTCCGGCCGCAACACTGCCCGATAATTGTTGCTCTGGGGCAGCAGAAGAGAGCCAATATGTTGGCTTGTATTTTCGTGAGGAGCACGGGCGACTCGAATGTGGCGTGGGTGTGTGCCTGGGAGCTGGTGAAATTTCGGGAAATTCAACCAGCTAACCAGCAGAAAGCAAGCTGGCAAATAAAAACAGAGCCAAAACACAGCACGACGTAGGAGGTGGAGCCCGCCCCGGGGCCTACAGGACGGCGGAAGCTGAGGCTGGCTCCTGTTCGTGAGGCTCAGGCTCAGGCAGAGGTACAAATTCAATATGGCGTCACAGAGGAAGTGCCACAGACGCACAGTGCATGTGCATTTGTGTAGGAGGAGGAGGTGGGGGGTCCATGTGCATGTCCATGTGCATGTGTGTGTGCTCTCTCATTGAACCAACAGCTTGTGGCGTCAATTTGTGGACATTATTGTTTCATGACTGCCAACTGGTTGGGCGGGTGCAACGTGCAACGTGCAACGTGCCACACATGATACGAAAAGCGAGGCCTAAGCAAACCTACCCGGAAAACTCGCCACAATCACAGGATAACAGTTTTCCATGGGATCTGTTGCGGGGGGCGGGAATCCATCTATTGTTATTTGATGCAGCTGCAACTGCAACAACAGTAGCTGTGTGCCACTGTGCCACACAACTGTGATCTCATTTTTCGATTATTTACGCGTAGATTTGTGTGTTAAATTTGTGCCAAAAATTAATTGCGAAGCGCGGTTTTCTGGTTCTCTTTTTGGAATGCCAGCCAGAAGAATGTCCATTCGACGGCAGATTCGGGGCCGCCGAGATAATTATGCCCCAATTAGTGTTTGGTTGTTCGAATGGGAAATCAATTACGGAGATATTCAAGATGAAAATTGTTAAATTGTTATAGAATTTTGCGGACCCTAACATAGCTGGATTGCCGAAATAGCTCGAAAATATATGAATATGTTTTGGGGTTGGCTATTCTTCCTTTTCTGCCAAACATATAATCAAAATTATTCTACCTTCTATAAGAGTATACAAATGTTAACAAAATGTGTATACAATATTTCCGCTTAATCATATTTCAAAGAACTATACATAAATTCTACTAATTATCCAAACATATATGTTGCATTTTATTGTTTCTGGACTCTATGTTTAAAATTGCTAAAATAAATGGAAAATAGTTGCTTTTCCTTTTTGGATTTG